TTTTGACGTTAGAGTGTTGAATGAGACATTATGGTAGCAAATGTGTTCTGGTTCTGGCACAGAGTGCAGTGACTACACGATAATATGCCCAATACACTATCCTGTAATTACCGGGGAATGGCAATACTGTTTGTTCATATGGCCAATTAACTGAATGACCAGTTTTCAGTGATGTACTGTACACTGAGTTTAATCAAATAAATGTTGGATTGATGGCCAACAGCTGTGAAGTTGGCATAATAAAATGTCCTTCTTAAAGAAACACCTGTTAAAAGGACACTTTAGTACATCCTAATGCATTTGGGAATTTCAGAGTTCCCCCTCTCTACAACATAACATATTTTGGATGATTTTTGGTCAACTATATTTCTCCAGCTGTCATTAACTTATTGAAATTCTTAAAGTTTAAAGACTTTAAAAATTCTTCCCACAATGAGAAGGATTAACATTTGGCAAAGGGCCTGAAATCTATTCTAGAAGAAATGTAAAATCAGTATTCTAAAGGAAATTCAGTTTGTATTCCTCATCAGAGACTGACTGAAATATCTAGCTATTAGATCAGTAAAAGTTCTTTGTCCAAAGATTGATCCCTCATTTGTCTTAATCATGGTTTCTAAACATTTTAGTTAGTAGACACTCTGCATGAATACTTAGTATTGCTTCAGCCTTCAACCTCACCCTCCATATAGTAATAAGAATATGAGCCATGGAAACCTTTATCATTGACTTAGAAGGTAAGAAATCCTCGCTATTCATCTAAACTAAATTATCCACACAAGAGGATAATTAGAAACAGTCTTTATACTACAGATTAACAGTTGCTTACTTGAAGTATTGCTACATATTCATATTGTTGTCATAGTTAAAGGTATTCTTGTGTTTTGAGGTTTCATTAAATTTGATTTCCAGTTTTTTTCAATGTCTTCAGTCTAATAAATGAATTGCTGGTTTGGGAGTCTGAGACCCCTGAAATCTCTGAGCTTTTTTTTTTTTTTTCTCTCTCTCTAATTGTCCTTCTAAACTAATTACCTATCTGAGTTGTCATACAATATTTGATGAAAAATTCAAATGACTTTTCCAATAAAGTAAGTATAATGTACTGCAATATCTTGAAGAAATGAGAAGTCAGTTTATATACAATTATGGTCAATTCCCTGATTCAGTGGCTGGAAGCCCATGTTTCGTGGATCTGTAGAAAGGTGTCCTGCATGAACAGATGACAGGGCAGCGAGTTTTTCTCATCTCTCTCAAATTTGTTTCCTTATGGAGTTACGCCACAGGGACTTTGCACACCTTGGGGAGAGGCACAGGGATGAGGCACAGCTGCCATGTGCACCTAAAAGTGCTCAGTAGGTCTTTCAGCTGCTGCCATGCTCTTTATCTGTGACAAGCTTCTAAACAGCTGCCATAACTGCTTTGGAACCTGAGTGAAATAGCAGCTGCCAAAGGCTGCTGGCCTCAGCTGAGCTATTCCGTGTGTTTCACTCTGCATATATCTTATTTGAGAAGAGAATATTTGAGAGGTACAGAGGGAGAGGGTTTCTTATCTATAGCTTCAGAAGATGCATTTGGTTTTTTCCATTGGTGGAGAGGGGAATTGTACAGAATAAAAATGCTCTTAGCAGACCTTCTGGGGCCAAGGTAAATGAAGTTTCCAAAGTACAAAATGTAAAGAAGCAGAAATGAAGCTAATTTATATTTTTGTACCGCATAATACACTCACACATGCAAAGGTTCAGATAGAGTCTAATGTTAGGGAAAGGATGTTCTTGTTAGCTTGTAGGTTGTTGAACAGTAAGTAGTGCTATGGTTACCCTCTAGTTCTCTCTACATGAACAGAATGTTCTCTCCCGTCGTGAAACAGATTCGGCTCTGGTTTGACAACAATTTTCCTCATTGTTCGTGCCCCTGTGGAGAGATGCACTTCCAGACGGCCTTTGTTCAGGAATATCGCATAATAGGCCTGCAACAGCAAATAATTATTGAAGATTAAACAAGAGTCTCATCTGTGACTTACCTTGAGAGGTTCTCTGACAGAATTGTAGTTGTCCTCTCTGAGATCTTACAGGAGAAGTAAGACTCAATATTCCCTTAAGCCGAATATTTAAGGCAGCTGGAAATATCCTTTTAATAATTCACCATTTTTTACTGGTTAGATGACACAGGAAGTAGATATAGTAATGTAGCATTTCTCTGTAAAGCAAGCAGATCTGAGCTGCCGAAAGTAACAGCTGTGCTTGCACTGGGCTTCTAACTTACAAAACTGACCAGTAAACAAATGGGACCAACAAAATCCCTCTCCCTTATAGTCATGAGTGGATCGTTAGCTTCTGGAAATCAGGTCTGACTCTCAACCTCATGGCATTTTGAGGATTTAGATTTTAATTTTGTTCTCTGAGCTGGTTGACTAGATTGCTATCACAGACTTGTAACTTGTCGCCCACATTCAGAAAGAAGGAAGATAGTTTTTCATCCACAAACATGCCTGCTTTCTTCTTGCCACTGTTACTATAGCAACCAGTATGGTTTTGATATCTGATTATAAACCCCAGGGAGTGTGAATGCTTTTCTCGTCCCCAAAGCCGATGGCATGTGTGCTCCGTTTCTGGTGGAGCATGGGGCATCTGCTGTACAATGATTGCTTGGTCCTCCAAGCATCATCTGTGATGGTGGAGACTGTTTCAGTCAAACATCGTAATGTCTCCAATAATTTACTTAATTAGCTATGCAGCTCTGTGGCCAACACAAAATGTTCAGAGGAACAGGATTAATACTCACCATTCAATGAAGGGGCAACTGTAAAATACTCAATTAAAAATTGCTTAGCTAATTGATCATTTGCTATCCCAAACCCATTTAGCCCAGTGTAATCACAAGTAACCTTATGGGTACCAAAACATTTTGCTTTGAAAAAGAAAATATGTCAATTTAACCAGTATTGATTCTAGAACAGATACAGATATGAACTATTTGACATTGTTTCCCCTTTCAGATAGCATTTACTATGATATTTTAAAAAGCAGACATTCCTTATCATTTAAATGTTGAAATATTTAAAAAACGTTATTTCTAATTTACTTTGGACTATAGTACTTAAGGGTCCCTGTGAGTCGGAACTGACTCGACCGCATGTAGCAACAACAACAGAGCCCTGGTGGCACAGTGGTTAAGAGAATGGCTGCTAACCAAAAGGTCGGCAGTTCAAATCCACCAGCTATACTCTGGAAACCCTATGGGGCCGTTCCACTCCGTCCTATAGGGCTGTTATGAGTCAGAATTGACTGGACGGCAATGGCTTTGGTTTTGGCTTACTTGTTATAAGCCTCCAGGATGAAGCTTATGTTTTGCGTCATTTGGTGAGCAGGCATTCTTAATTGTCATAAAGTTACACTTACAATCCTGTTTTGTTCAACAAATCCTTTCCTTCTCTAAGGGTCACAAATAGCCTCTCTTTTCTTCTAAAAGTTTTAAAGATTTGCATTTCATGTTTAAGATTTTAATTCATTGGGAACTGATTTTTCTGTTCAGTGTGAAGTAGAAATCAAGTTCACTTTTTCCATGTGGATAATCAGTTGCCCCAGTATCATTCACTGAGAGGACCACTGTTTTCCTAATGAGCTGCAATGCCTGGGTATATCCAGGACTCTATTCTGTTCCACCATCACAGAGTTATCCAGGAATTAACACCAAACTACTGCAATCCAAATCTCTAGTTTCTAACGTGCTGATATCTGGCAGAGCGACTATACCACCTTTTCTACTTTAGAAATTTCTTGGGTTTTTGCTCTTTCATATAAATTTTAGAATTAGTATCTCATGGATCTCAAAAAGATAAAAGTGGCATTTTTATTGGAACTGAATCTACATAACATTTTGAAAACTGACATGTTTTTTATATTGAGTCTATCACTGAAAGTGTTGACTACGTCCATTTATTTAGGACTACTTTAATGCCTTTCCATAAAATTTTATAATTTTCTCCATATGGATCTAACACTTGTTTTGTTATATTTATTCTTAAATTATATACTTGTTCTTATACTATACTTGTTCTTTTCTTATTGCAATGTTAAGATCAGTGCAGTAATAATATTCATCCTTTTCTTGGTCTTGATTTTAAAAGAAATGTTTCCAGTGTTTTTCTATCAGGAGTATTTGTTATAGTCATTTTACAGATGGTGAAGGAAGCTCCCTCCTTTTCTTACTCACCAAGCATTTTTTCTGTTTTGTTTTTTTGAATAGGTGTTAAATTTTATCAAACGTTTTTCTTCATCTATTGAGATGACTATACGGTTTTTAGATTTTCTAATATTAAACCACTTTTGCATTCCTGAGATAATCCAACTTACTTATGATGTATGATTTTTTTAAAACACTTTTATACATCTTTGGATTCCATTTGCTAATATTTTGTTAGGCTTTTTTTTTACGGAAATGAATAAGACTTACTACACAATACTATTTATTGTTAAATATTAAATGTTAAAATTGATTAAAAACACATAATCACAAATAACACAACCTAGTTTATAAAGAAGTGTGAATATTTGAGGACATATTTGCAAAGCATTCTAATCTTCTGGTCATGGCAGACTAGGTAATTTCTATTAACCCTTTCACTGAGAAAAACTAGATTAAATGGAAAAACTAGATTTTAAAAATATGACTGAATGTACTGGAGGGATATCAAGACAGTAAAGAGTTATACTGCTTAGATCTGGGAAGCTGCCAAAGGGCTTTTAACATAATCAAAGGGCTAAAAAAAAAAAACCAAACAAACAAACAACCAAATCCGTGCTGTCGAGTTGATTCGGACTCATAGAGACCCTATAGGACAGAGAAGAACTGCCCCATAGAGTTTCCAAGGAGCACCTGGCAGATTCGAACTGCTGACCTTTTGGTTAGCAGCGGCAGCACTTAATCACTATACCACCAAGCTAAAGGGTCTAAAAATTGAAGATTCACAATTTGGCAAAGGTGGACACTGTTTAGACTTTATTCTAGCATCATGAGTGGGATTGGGCTATAAGTTTTCTTTTTCGTACTGTCCAAATCTGTGTTGGCTGTACTTGATTTGCAACTTCTAGTGCCAGGTCCGTTCTCTGCTCATCTCTGTGCCTATAGAAGGTGGGGCAAGGCAGGTTTCAACAGACTATATCACCTTGGCTACTGAAACTGGGAAACTGACCCTAAAAGGAATTTAAATTTAAGAGACCATACCTGGATATCTACAGATCTGATAAGGAAATGAACTTGGAGACAAGAAAAAATTAATACAATTTTGAACATATTCTAAGATTTCTCTGTTTATATATGTAAATGCTAAACTGATATGAAATATAAGTGCAAATACAAGCGTGATTGTGCACCTGGAATTGACCAATAGGAAAATTCTAATGAAGAAGAAGATATCAGAGAAATACGAGGTCAGCATGGATATAGAAATGTTCAGCCCTGGCTGGCTAAGATGGTAATGGAAATAAATGATGCAAATATGAAAATATAAAAGCAATTTATAAGGCCTAAATACCTCACCAGTTCTTTGTAAAACAACTGTTGTATATAAACATTAGAGAAATGCATTCTTAACGAGGTGTGACAGTACCTGTCCAGTTTGCCTTCGTTTTCTTCTAGGTGGTGCTGGTGTCCCTCCACTTCCCAAGAGAATGATCCCAGACTCATTCTTGGTGCTGAAGGACAGGTTAATTTCTGTTCCTACATCAATTGGCACAGGGGCCAACTCCACAAAACCAGGCTTAAGGAAGCTTACAGTGTAAACATTCTGTGAGTAAAAGGAAAGAAGAGAAAAAACCGTTAGAAATGAAAATCTAAATTAATTTCTCTATTTCACTCTCCCTCTTCAATGCACTCAATGCTATCATGAAATACATTGTAATTTTAGAAAGGATGAAAACCCATAGAAACATGGAGAGTTTAAGAGCAGTTAAAGAAGTATATACCCATTTGTAACTTCAAATCTTCCTAGCAGCTTAAGTTAAATCCATGATTGTGGTCTCTGCTGTTATTCTAGAACTTCTGGTTTAAAACGTAGAAGATTATTACTGATAAATAACATTTTCTTTTGGTTTAAACTGACCTTGCTAAATCTGCCTTGAAAACACTTGACATTAATCCCTTTAATACACTCCATCAACTAATTATTTATGTTTTATGAGTGTGACCACAGTCTATGTCAACATTCTCCCTCAGTGATGAGCCCAATGTAAAGATGTTCATTGCTATCAAATATATAAATATACTCCATAGGATTTAAGAAATATCAGATAAAATTTAAACCTTAAAAATAAATAATGCAAACATTAATAGTCCAATTTTTCCTCAAAATGAAAATGGTAGTATTATTTTTGTTGATTATAAATTTTTTAAAAATTAACACTTCAGACAGTAAGAAGTGAAAAGTAGGGAAATCAACAATTTTTCCCATACCAAAGCTGTATAGGAGTATATGAATTTTTACAGTGTATTCATTCATTCATTTTATCCTTCACTCCCTTACCTCCTTCCTCCACCATTCCCTCCTATATTTAAACTGAATCATGATAGACATGTTCATTGGTATCTTTTTTCACTTAAATATGTGGGGATATCTCTGTCAGCAAACACAGATCCCATCATCAATTTCAACAACTGGGGGACATTCCATTATATGAATGTGATCTAATTTATTTAAGCAAGGCCATATGGTTGGACATTGAGAGAGCTTAAAATGTTCATTTTTAAAATCCCGGATTTTGCAGGAATAAAAGCAAGGATTCTTTTAACGTAGGCTATTTTTTTTTTTCCACACAGTGATTCAGTTCCAGTTAACGGACACAAAGGGTGGGCAAAATGTGTAATCTATTTTCTATTCCAATTTTCAAATCATGGAGTTTTGGATAGTTCAGATAAAACTACTGTGCAGACTTATCAATATTTATCCACATCAAATTTCTGCCTCATATTTTAGTTGCAAAATAATTCCTGGTTACTCAAAAGTGCCTTTACAGAATCATCATTTCCACACATATAGGCTGTTCACTTTCTGGACAGTTTTCATCCTCATGTATATCTTTTGAACGTGGATGAGAGTGAGGGTATGGAGGCTTAAAACTCCCAGTGAAATGTTCTTTAATAAGCCAGTTATCAGTCCTTAGAATTTTAACTCTTTATGTATTCCCTTTTTCCTTATTCCAAAGCTTCTCAGGGTGGGAATTTCAAATGGAACATGCAGCTACAAACAATAAAGGCCCTGACAGTTCTGTTCCAGCCTTCAAACCCCATGATTCATATGACGGATTCATTTTTTTTTTCTTTCTCTCTATTCTTTCTTGATTTCCTGGAATTCCATAAGCCAGTTGCCATCAAGCCAACTCTGACTCATGGTGTCCTCATGTGTGTCAGAGCAGAACTGTGCTCATAGGATTTTCAATGGCTGATTTTTCAGAAGTAGATCACCAGGTCTTTCTTCTGAGGTGTCGCTGGGTAGACTTGAACCTCCAACCTTTTGTTAACCGTTTTCACCACCCAGGGACATAAATTCTATAGGAGTGCTTTAAAATAATTTTAATTGGAGAAAACAATCAAAACGAACAGTAGTATTATCTCAGAGTAATTAAAATTTGTAAGCATGATATATTTAACATTTTATTTTTTTAAACAAGCTCATGAGTTTTGAGATCCCATAAAATTCTCATTAACACTTGCTGATGACAGTTGGCTCTAGTTTATAGATATTTTAAGAGAGGAGAGCTCTGACTTGAGTTTCTCTCATGTATGGGTCAGCCCCTACTGAAGACTCAGTGCAGAATAGTCAAGTAAATCAGGGGGCTGCTGGGCTGCTTTGGTGATGGAGAAGAGATACTGAGGATACCTGGCCTCCAGCTAAGCTTTAACGTTTTGGTGGTAAAAAAACGTTGCAGTCTTGTCAAAGACAAGTCTTTGGAAAGTTGGATGCCATAGTTACTGGTCTGTGCCATTTTCAAAAAGGGGGCTTGACTTTCAAGGTGTAGACAAGATGATATGTACTAATGATTATGGTGCAAATGACTACTTGCTATTTGTGTAAACTCCCACTACACTCCAGAAAAAATTAAGGCTGCTGATAAAGCTATAGACAATACATAAGGATAAAATAAATTTAAAATAGATGACAGAAAAAAGGAAAAGGGTAAGTAGTATTGGAAATAGAACCAGAAAAGAGATTATATTAAAAATACAATTTTGGGTCTTCATAATACCATCTACTAAGTTCCGTTGATCATGGTAATTTATAGAAGTACCTCAGTCTTGCTTAATCACTTATGAATAGCTAAAATGAGAGTAAATAGGATTTTAAAATACATTAACAAGGGACTGGTCCCTGTAAAAGCACCCAAATGATGTAAGTAAAACCTGATATGAATGTGTTTAGGGAACTATTAAAAACAGACCAACCTCCAGTGAACATCCTTTGGTAACGCCAACATAATCAGGGCTACTGAGTATATTATATGGGGTTCTTGAAATTTCAATATCTCTGAGGCAGCCAGAATATTTCCTCAAATTTACTTCCGGTCTGTTGAAAGTTAAATGGAAAACAAAAGCAATAGCATTAGGGCAATGACAGTTCCTGTAACTACTGGAAGCAAGCCATAGGAGCAAACTAACTCACAGGTAGGCACGTTTATCAACTCGTGCACAGGCGCACGCAGGTATCCAGCAAACTATGCTCTCCTTTATCTACTGGTGACGTTAAGAGATGTTAACAGCATCTTGTAGAAGGAGTCTTTATGTAGTTATTCTTTTCTATTGACTCAACGGCAATGGCTTTGTTTTTTTTTGTTTGTTTTTTGTTTTTTGGTGTTAAGTGCTTTGGAGCCCTGGTGGCACACTGGTTAAGAGCTCAGTTGCTAACCAAAAGGTTGGCAGTTTGAATCTACCAGCTGCTCCTTGGAAACCCTGTAGGGCAGTTCTACTCTGTCTTATATGGTTGCAACAAGTCAGAATGGACTCGATGGCAATGGGTTTGGGTTTTTTTTTCCCCCCTTTGGTATTAAGTGTTTTATATATATAATGAAATAAGGGTTTCCTTCTCCCTCCAAAAAGTAGATAATTGTGTAAGAAGCATGATAAAACTACATACAGAAAGAAGTAAAAATAATAATAACTCGTTCAAAAATTTAAAAAATTCTAGAAAATATTTTAATCATTGAGACTTTTTTGACGGGGAGTAGTTACTGAAGAATAGCATAACATTATATTTTACTTTAACACTTTTAACTTAAGCAAAGTCCAAGAAACATGCATTTGGATTACATCTTAAAAAAAAAAAGAAAGATATTTTAAAGTTGAGGGTATAGACTGACCCAAAAGTCCTTATTTTATACCAGCACAATAGCAACATAAAGCAACCAACAGCCCAAACCAAAAACCCACTACTGTCTGGTTGATTCCAACTCATAGCGACCCCATAGAGTTTCCAAGATTGTAAATCTCTACGGAAGCAGACTGCCACATCTTTCTCCCATGGAGCTGCTGGTGGTTTGAAACTACTGACCTTTCAGTTAGCGATCAGTCACTTTAATCACTGTGCCACCAGGGCTCCTCAAAAGCACAAAAGATATATTTTATTTTTCCAATAGGGTTGAAAAAATGGTTTCCATACCCAAACTAAGGTCCCGGGGTGGCCTCAAACAGTTTGTGTTTGACTAGTAATCTAGAGGTTGGCAGTTGGAACCCATGCAATGGCACAGAAGAAAGGCCTAGTGATCTGCTTCCATAAAGGTTAAAGCCAAGAAAACTCTACAGAGTAGTTCTACTCTGTAATATATGAGGTCACCATGAATTGGAATCGACTCAATGACAATGGGACATTTTTTTTTTTAATTATACCCACATTACTTTTGAATGTTTACTTCTTGCTCACCACTTCTTAAAACAGGGCAAACATTCCAGCAGATTAGAAAATGAAGTCCTTGCCCTTGAGTCCAGCATGTTGCCCTGGTTTATTATGCGACATCCTGCAAGTGACTTTTCTCTGAGACTCAGTGTCCTTATACGTGAAATGGACAAAATGATAATAATAATACTACTATCTGCATTATTGAGTTGCGAAGTTTGCACAAGACAATGAATGTAAGCACTTTAACATAATTCCTAGCAAGTGGAAAGTGCTCAATACACACGAGCTAGCAAGGTTGTCAGTGATGATAACACTCCTTTAAGGTATGGAAGCACTGTCCAATGGAACTTTCTGTGATGGTGGAAAGAATCTCTTCTGCACTGTCCAGATTGGTAGCTACTAGCCACATGTAGCTGTGGCTTGTGCCAGTGAGGAACTGAATATTTATTAATTATTTAATTTAATTAATTTAAAGTTAAATTGCCACTGTGGCTAGTGGCTACTCTCTTGAACAGTGCAGGTCTATAGGGCTAAATAAAGTAATACTTTTCTTCTTTACAAGATGTTAATAAGGATCTGTAAAAACTGTCCAATCATACCAAAATATTGTACTTATTGGTTATCATTGTCCATGATTCCAGGATCCTTTTTTTCTTTTTTTTCCCTGTCTTAATAAAAATTACATGGCACCGGGGAAGACAGGTGGGGAAGCAAATCAGGCCCTGGCAGTGTGGTGTGTACCAGCTGATTTATATCATGCCAGATATTCTGTTTTCTTTTTCTCTGTAACTGCTTTATTTTCTTTGATAATTTTCTTCTGTTCCCAAGGTTTTCTCCTTCTGCTCAGTCGGAAGAACATGCCAAATGGAGGGTGAGGGTCTTGCTTATGTTTTTCTTCTACAAGGCAAAGGGAATGAGTGCATTTCTTTCACGGTGTTCATTTGCTCCTATACTTGCCTTTAGGGGAAGGCTCATCTATCACAATTTTTCCAGAGGTCTTGTCAATAAAGTCGATCACTCCTACCAGTTATATAGTTTGTTATTTCATGGAAACACAAAGAACCACTTCAAAATATAACAATTCAGCAAGCCCAGTGTTATGTAAATCACAGAAGACAAGTAGCAACATATGATCAGATTCATAATGTAACCATAGACTTCTGAAGGTCACCACTCAAGGGCAAAATTACCAAGCTACACAGCGTTATCCAGAGTTTTATTAGCATCTGTTTCCACTGAAAGCCAGCATTTGTCTTTTAGCCATCCCAGCAAACACAGCATGACTATCCTCATTACTGCATTGTGATAACACAACTTGCTTTATTTTTTTACTTTCATTTCTCTATATTCTAGTTTCTGATATTAAAACTCAAGCCTTTGCTTTTAAAATTTCTTGGATCAGTTCAGGTTCATTATCTCCTTTCCAAAAATTTGGCACACTTAGGCTCTGAAATGTCAAAAAACCAGGCTTTAGCCAGAGTGTGCCAGTGTTGCACATCTCGAGGTTTGGACCAGCCACTTTACAGGGAAGTGCTGCTCACAGCTTTCATACTAACCCCTGTCTGCAAATTAGAATTAAAATGATCCTGAGAAGCTAGGGGGACTGTCCACAAACTTCTTCACCATTAATGCAAATATTTGTTTTAAACATACTATTTCCAGAGATTCCTTTCATCTGGCTCTAGAGCTAATTCTAAATAAACACAGCAATATATAAGCAGCTCTGCCATGAGGTGCAAAGGCCACGTAAACGTTTGCATGTTTGCAGCCCTGCAAAAAGCAACAATGCAGTGGTAAGCACTTAGGAGCACCAGCTGATTATTCAGTAGACAGCATGGTATCAGGGAGGCCAGAGTCTGAGGTTCAATCCCAGAGATGGGTAGATCGCTTTGCTCTGTTACCCAGAACTAGACTGTGCCGATAAATCTGAGTGTGCTGCTGGTAGCCAGGGGGCACTGTGCGTGAGTGGTTGAACAAGTAAGCAGAGCAAATCCATCATCACTGCTGGTGAAACAAGTCAAATTGCAAGCCCAGTTGATGGTGGGTAAGCAGCAGCATCTTTGTTAAGTAAAGGGCAGCATGAGAAACACCTCAGGATGCATTACTTGCTCATGAAATATACTCTGGAAAAAGCTGCACAGGTCGCTCTGCTTCTGCACAGCTGCTTTATTTAAAGCCACATTTACCCAGCCCATGCACTTGAAGAAGGCATGCATAAATTTAAAGTTTACCTTGCTTTCATACTAGGTCACAGGGAAGAGAGGGAAAAAAAAACAATTTACTTATACTTGCATTTTCATTTAGTAAAACAATAAACACTAATCATAAATCTCCAAATAAAGCATCTCACAGGGATCCACAAAGGAAAGGTGTGCAAAAACCCCATAGAACAGAAAACAGACATATAGAAAATAGAATCTAAAAATGACCATTTCCTATATAACAATTCTCTTGGAAAATTTTTATTTTAGAGTATGAATTTAAGAACTTATGTTTATCATTATAATGAATGGGAAAATGCATATGTCTCTATTCTGCAGTTCCCGTAAGTAGTTTATAAATATTGCCTCTCAAAGAGCTTAAATTTAATGAAATCTATAAAAATAATTTACATTTTGCTGTATCTTTTGTGCTTTATCATATTGAGATCGTGTCTGTGGGCAAAATAGAAGGTAACTGAGTCCTTGGCTTCTTGATCAGTCACAAATAGATGTCTGAAGATTGTTCTGAAATAATGTAGCATACTATAGCGCCATTATCATTGTGGAATGTACTGTGAAAGTAAAAACATCTTAGCAATGATAAAGCAAAGAACCCTTAGATATGATGTGTACTTTGCTAGCCAAGTAAAACATAAACCCATCTCAATTAAATTAAATGTATACCTTTGTAGTTAACTTCTAAAAATTATTTTATGATAATCAAAACCAAGTCATTACTTGGTTTAAGTGACTTTAAGTTTGGATAACCTTATTCTGGCTATATTTCACTCATAGTAGAATATAGTTATTGATATTACAAAGCAAATCTTAGACTTAAGCAACTTCTGGATTCCTACCATTTAATATGGTGACTGGCACACAATAGATGCTCAACAAATATTTGTTGAATAATGCTGAATAAATTAATTTCCACGTAATAACTATGTCACTATTCAAATACATTTGATCTTCAATGATTTTTCTGACCAGGCACTTTAAATCTACATTACTAACACCAAATACCTTATAATGTAGAAGAATACAGAGCCAGTTTATCCGTACCATAAAACTTATCAACTTATATTCTTGAAAGATCGGTAATTAGAGTTGCTTGGTCTATGAGTGTGCATCTTGGGAAAAGAGTAAATCTCAATCTGCATGCTATCCCTTATAAAATGAGACTGAAGTTCTACTGTTAATTTGGGAACTATGAAAAATAATTGATCACCGTATTTCTCAGCTATTCTGAAATCCCTCCAAATGTAATGTGACTTTTTAGAGTAGAAACATGTAGGCAGGACTTTTGTCCCAATAAAAAACAAACTAACTAAATAACAAAACACAACAGAAAATTTAAAACAGGGTAGTCTATATTTTTAGTAAACTCTTATGGTTTAACCAAATCAATTAATTCCAATCTAATTAAATTCAGTTAACATTTATTGAGCATCAAGTAGTCTACAGATGTTCATTTCTTATGTTTCATGATAAGCAGTAAATTAAACATCATGTGAAATATTTTCTGAAATTTTTACTTTATTTTTTGAACTAATTAAACTACGAACTAAAAATGTCTCCCCATCCTGCTAGCTAAAAAGCATATGTAAAATTTTAAAAAAGTGTTGGCATGGGCATGAAAATAACTAATATAGCTCTTGTATTAGGCATATAGGCAAGCTCCAATACATCATAATGATGCTAATTCTTAGCAATAAAATAGGTTGTACACAATGTGTCCTGGCATACTGACTAATTTTCGGAACACTAAGCAATGTCATTGTGCTATTATCTCCAGTGAATGTGCAAAGAGAACAAAAATTGTAAGATCCACATTTAACTCTGGTTTTCACCTTTAATTACTTTCATAATACTTTTCATTAGGTGAATATAAGGCAAACAGTGATTCCAATCTATCTCTTCCACAAAGTTATCAAATTAATCCTTTGGTTTCTAAAACCTTGTGTTGTTCTAACATGCAGCATGCTTTTTTTTTTTTTTTTTTTTTGATCAGGCCTTTCTGCAACTAAAGGTTATATGACATTCCTATTGTAATTAAACTTTGGAACTCTAGTGAGCACAGTGGGCATTTATTTAAAATTTAATCCTTAGCTCTAAATGTAAACTAGATTACCTCAAGTTTCTCAGTGTTGGTAGGCCACCAAAATATATTTTGTCATCTGCTTTCAAGTCAAGACCAAAGTTGTTTCCAGATGAAGAAGTTGCTATGTTCTCCTCCTGGTTAGTATCTATATCTACAATTGATATATTGGCTATAAAGGAGATAGAAAGGTTAATATTTTTTTGAGAAATACCAACCACATATATGTCATGACTATTACTTCAAGATGAATTTAGTTTAATTCTCAAATTAACATCGACCTTCTACAACACCGGTACTATATACAGTCATTTAATAATAGCAGATACAATAAAAGCAGTGAAATACATTATTAAATCATCCACAATAAGACAGCATGAAAATAGTCACTTCTCAAGGCAACACCCATGAGGAGAAAAGAGAGATGCTTGAACGTACTTTAAACAGCAATTTTATCAAGTTTTCCATAATATAGATAAGAAGTTAGATATAATTAGAGATAAGGTCATTAGTTCTATCTTAAAATAGATATCTAATTAGAAATTAGATAATTAACTAGAACTATACTAAGTCTGTGGCTCTTTCTGAAAATTTCAGTACCAACAGAACTGCTAGGATTTAGGCTCCTGTACAAAGCATTAACCCCTGCATAAGATGATTGTGCATGGAAACGGAGAGATGAGAGTCTGCAAGATGAGGGGAGCCACATCCCCTATAAACTACATTTTAGACTGGGGATGCCAAGTGTTGTGAGAGGCATAGTATTCTCCCCTTATTGTTCTTCTCTCAGGTATCTAAAGGTATTTCTGATATGATGAGGATAAGAATTCAGAAATAGAAAGGAAAAGAGAAAGAAGAGAGGCACTTTTCAGCTTAAACTGCTTTGTATAGAAAGCAGATGGGGAACTCTTATCTCACTGATTTTTTTCCCCTCAATCTGAAGGGTCAAGCAAGGTCTTTTTTTTCCCTGAATTATGTGCTTTCTCCCTGTAATATTTGTTTAGGCCTAACCTTAACTGCTTCATATATTCTGGATCCTTGATGCATATTGAGTTAGCAGTTCATTAACATGATAAATTTGGCCTTTAAATCCTTGGCTGATATAGGATCTGAATTAATTAGGGTCTGAAAATGGACATTGGAACCAATCAATTATAAGGGCATGTCTAAAAGTTTATTCCTTAAAACACTAGTTTCATAGGTCAAATAAATTTGACAAACACTGGGTTAAACAAAGTTAAACGTATCTTAATTTTATGACTGCCCAGAACGTTTAACATGCTTATATGCAATGTAATGCTCAAAGAGAGGGGTATGAAGTTATTTCCCAAATATATTTGACCATGGGACATTATTATTTTCTCTCAACTCATCCCCTTTTAGAACTAGTGCTCTTTGGAAGGCACAGAGAGATATCAAACAACAAAATTCCAGTGCAGTCAGTAGCACTTCCATTCCTAAAGAAAGTGTCTTCAGTGAAACCATACACAGTTACCTTGCAAAAAAAAAAGTGAAATACCCGAACCTATTAACACCTCAGACTCTCAAAGCTGACTTTCAAAAAACAAACAACAAAAAACAACTCCAGAGAAAATCATCCTATTAAAAATATTTAGCAAGTTTAAGATTTAAAAAATTAATTATTTTTTATAAATACATTAAAAAGATTATATGTTTAACATGGACTGGTGGCTAAAAGAAAAGAGATTTCTAAAATTGTTTTCATGACTTTTTCACACAAATGCCTTTTTATCCAGATCAGCAAAGAAGTTTTCATATGGGGCTGCTGACTGAAACATGAAAATAGCCTCTTTTTATAGACCGGATGATATTTTAATGGTGTCTGTGAAAATCAGATTCTGCCTCTCTATCACATGCAAGCCAATGACTGGAGGTAGTTTTGCTCCTTATCCCTGAATGAATATACGCATTTGTAGAAATCATTCTAAGAAAAACTGATTAAAGAGTGGCAACACAATTGAATTGAAACTCACTGGCCCAGGAGTTAACTCTGGCAGAGATATGTTGAATGGCGTATTTTTACCGATTTAAAGGGAGGATTTTACTCTACCCTTCATGAGTGATAGCGATGAAGTAGGTTCTGCTATGGAATGCTAACACTCTTATTATTTCTCTTCCTTACAGAATAGAGAAATAAGCTATTAACACAGAATTTCAGGTTGATGAGTACAGACATCATTTATGGGTGTGTAGGGTAATAGGAGTTTTATTAAATACTAAACACAGAGTAGGGTCTTAATGAGTATTTCATAATCAATGCTGAGTTGTTATCAGCTCATTGTTTTTACTTTGGTATTTTTTCTTCTCACTCTTAGTTCATTGAAAATCTAAACAATCACTCGGAACCTTGTTTCCATATCAGTGCACTTGGGGGATGTGGCACACTTTAGCTCTGGTGGTACAGTGGTGAAAAGCTCGGCTGCTAACCAAAACATCTGCAGTTCGATTCCAACAGCTGCTCCTTGGGAACCTTATGGGGCAGTTCTACTCTGTCCTATACTGTCACTATGAGTCAGAATCGACTCAACGGCAATGGATTTGCTTTTTTTTTTTTTTTTTGGTGGTGGTGGTTCGACTGACTGGCTGTCAAGGGCGACGTCCCCTGAAGGAGTGGGTTTGAATTTCAAGGCACAGTTCTTACACAAACTTGTTGAGAATAAGTCATCTAAAACAACTAATTTGGCCACTGGAAAGGAGCCAAGACTCATACTGCAGGAGTCTTATTTGGATTCCTATCCCCTACTCCGTGGTCTCCGACCCTGCTGAAGTCGTCGCTGTCTTCCCTATAAACCAACCAAATGGAGAATTTTTGTCCTTAACTTAGCAGATTATTACGCAGCATATGATGCTGTTAGCATCTCCCTTCTTCTTGGAAACTTCCTCTTTTGGATTCCATAATACCACGCTCTCCAACTTCTTTTCTTACCTTTCTAACCTCATTCTCACGCTCGTTTCTTGGAAGCTATTTCTTTGAACACCTCTGAAATGTTTATGTTCCCTAGTATCCCTTTCTTTGCCCACCTCTCAGGTTTTAACTGAGTAAATTCTAGTTTTCATCTACTTAGGATGACTCAGAAATCAGTATGCCTGGACCTGACTTTTGCCTAAAAACTCATATTCAATAAGTGAGACACCATTGTCTGTATTTTCCCTAAGTATTTCAAACAAAACATATTACGAATCTAAATGATCTTTTTACACCCAATCTGTATTTCCTGTTTTATTTGTTGGCACTATGGCCCTCACCCAAGTTCCTAAACTAGAAAGTCAACCTGGCTTTTCTCCTCACCATTCCACATCTAATGAGTCAACAGCCCTCTGATTCTTCTTCTAAATAACTCTAACATCTGTCCTAATTTTTTAACAGCTTTACAGAGGTATAATTGGCATACTATAAATTACCCATATTTAAAATGTACAATGTAATAAGTTTTGAGTTATGTATACACCTGAGAAGCCATCACCACAATCAAGAATGTGAACATAAATATCACCACAAAAGTTTCCTTATGCCCCTTTGCAATCCCTCTTTCCCTCCCCTTCCTCTCCACCCATCCCCAAGTAACCTCTGATCTGCTTTCTGTCACTATAATTAGTTTGCATTTTCTAGTATTTTATATAAATGGACTCTCTTTTATCTGCCTTCTTTCACTCAGATTAATTGTTTTGATACTGAATCCATTTTGTACATGTATTAATAGCTCATTACTTTTTATTGCTGAGTAGTATTCCATTGTATGTATATACCACAATTTGTATATCTAGTCACCTGTTGGTGTACATCTGAGTTATTTTCAGTTTCTGATTCTCACAAATAAAGCTGCTATGAAACATACTGGTAGAGTTGTTGTATGGAGGTATGCTTTCATTTGGCTTGGGTGAATACATTGGGGTGGAATGGCTGGGTTATATGGTAGATATATATTTAGCCTTTTAAGAAAGTGCTAATCAGTTTTCTAAAGTGACTGTACTATTTTACATCCTTACCAGGATTGTATGAAATTTCCAGTTCCATCTTCACCAGCACTTGGTATTGTCAGTCTTTTTAATTTTAGACATTCTGGTAACTGTGAGTGGTATCTCATTGTGATTTTGCATTTCCCTAGAGTCTAACACCAGTGCACTGCTTACTTCAAGTTATCATTCATCTCCTGCCTGGATGATTATTGGACCTAATTAGTCATTCTACATCCAATTTAGCCTTTCACATTGACACACGGACTCATCTACTTAAAACTGAAATCACGATGTCACATCTCTACTTAAATCCCTCCAATGGCTCCTCTTTAGCACGGTATAAATGCCCCTAAGTGATACCGCCCTTGTCAAGATGCCCAGCGTTATCTTCAACCACTCCCTTGAAATTTAAACCCTAGTGATTTAAACTCATTATAAATTTTCCCTAATTAAGCTGTCTTAGTTATCTAGTGTAGCTATCACAGAAATACCGCAAGTGGATGGCTTTAACAAAGAGAAATATATTCTCTCACAGTTTAGGAGGCTAGAAGTCAGAATTCAGGGTGACAGCTCCAGGGGAAAGCTTTCTCTCTCTGTTGGCTCTAGGGGAAGGTCCTTGTCATCTATCTTCCCCCGGTCTAGGAGCATCTCAGCACAGGGAACCCAGGTCCAATGGACACACGTATTCCTGGCTCTCCTTGCTTGGTGGTAATGGGATCCCACCTTACTGCCCCCCCCACTACTCTCCCACACCCACCCCAACTCTCTGCTGGCTTCTCTCTTTTATATTTCAAAAGAGATTGACTCAAGATACAACTTCATCTTGTAGATTGAGTTCTGCCTCATTAACATAACTACCTCTAATCCTGCACCATTAACATCACAGAGGTAGGATTTACAACACATTTACATTTTGTCATCACATCAGATGACAAAATGGTGGACAATCACACAATACTGGGAATCATTGCCTAGCCAAGTTGATACACATTTTTGAAGGACACAATATAATCCATAAATAAGCCATGCCTTTTATATACTGTTGTCTTTTCATGTGAATGCTCCTTAGCCTGGATCACTCTGCAACCGCCTCCACCCTCAAAAAAGTATCCTTGAGCTCAGTTAAGTGCCCTACCTCTGTGTTTCCGTAGTGTTTACTGCATCCCACTGAGCTTATCTATTTACTTCTGCATCAAAGAATGTTAAGTTACTCAAAGATAGAGACTGCATTCATCTTCACAGACTCAACACTGCGTTTGATACATAGCTGGTACTCAATACATGTTTCTTATCAGAGCTAAACTTAAGACAGCAGGTAGGTGGTTATTTTTCCAAGTGTTCCTTCTTTTCTCTTTTAATTTAGATTTCACTGTTTTGTGACCTTTGAATATTGCTACTACAGGTAAATGATTAAATTCTTTTTTTTTTTTTAGAGTAGGAAGAGGTATGATACAAGGACTCAGGCTCACACAATTGTTGAAATGTGAGGGAGCAAAAGTCAGGGAGGATGTGTCATAGTTTCCTAGGGCTATCATAATAATGTGCCACAAATGGAGTGGCTTATAAGAGCAGAAATCTATTGTCTCATAGTTCTGGAGATTAGTAGTCTGAATTCAGGGTGCTGGCAGGGCCATGTTCTCTTCAAGGCTCTAAGGGAAGATCCTTTTTTGTCTCTCTCAACCTTGGGTAGACCCAGATGTTCCCTGACTTATAGATGCATCTTCACATAGTCATCCTTTCTTTGTCTCTCTGTGTCTTCTCCCCTCTCCTGTAAGGATACTAGTCCACAGCAGCCAGCATGACCCCATGTTATCTTAACTGATAATATCTTCAGAGACGCTATTTCCAAACAAGATCATGTTCACAGGCACCAAGGGGTAGGTCCTCAACACATCTGTCATGGATTGAATTATGTCCCCCAAAAAATGCGTGTATCAACTTGGTTAGGCCATGATTCCCAGTATTGTGTGGTTGTCCTCCAATTCTGTGATTGTAATTTTATGTTAAAAATCATTAGGGTGGGATTGTAACACCCTTACCCAGGTCACATCCCTGATCCATTTAAAGGGAGTTTCCCTGGGGTGTGGCCTGCACCACCTTTTATCTTTCAAGAGATAAAAGGGAAAGGGAAGCAAGCAGAGAGGGGGAACTCATACCACCAAGAAAGCAGTGCCAGGAGCAGAGTGTGTCCTTTGGACCTGGGGTCCCTGTGCGGAGAAGCTCCTACTCCGGGGGAAGATTGATGAGACCAACAGAGAGAGAAAGCCTTCCCCTGGAGCTGATGCCCTGAATTTGGACTTGTAGCCTACCGGACTGTGAGAGACTAAATTTCTCATTGTTAAAGCCGTCCACTTGTGGTATTTCTGTTAGAGCAGCACTAGATGACAAAGACAATATCTTTTGGGGGACACAATTCAATTCATAACAGATGTATTTAAGAAATCTAGAAATACAAAGATTTTAGGGAAGCTGCCACCAGTGGTCCCAGCTGCCAGCAACACTGAAGTGAAAGAGCCTCAGGAGGACACTTTAAGACCCTGAGAGTCACTAATGATGACTTCGATGCTGGCAGTGCTGAAGGGTTAGGTCAAGGGCAAGACTCCCCGTCTGCTGCTGCCAGAGAATAGTGACTTCTCCTTCCCTTCCACCTTCCGAACTTTGAGAGGGTGCCTTTCACTGGAGGATTCTAACTGTAGATCTACTGGCAGGGCATCTGGACAATGTAGTTTCCCAGATGTTACTGTCTATGTCCAGGAGAGTGCTTAGGAGGGATGGGATGGTGCTAAGTTTCAACAAGCTTCAATAAAGTACCCAGCACAATGTTCTTTGCTCATTTTTCTTTCGGGTGTATTTAAATGGAGATGAGGAGAGGCAAGATCCAGAAAAAGGGAACTCAGTAGACAATGCAATAATCTAGCTGCTGTAGAGTCAATTCTGACTCATGACAACACCATGTATGTCAGAGTAGAACTGTGCTCCATAACGATGTCAATGGCTGATTTTACAGAAGTGGATCTCCAGGCCTTTCTTCCTCGGTGGACTGGAACTGCCAAGGTTTTGGTTAGCAGCAGAGCGTGTTATCCCATTGCACTACTCAAAAACTTCAACAACCCAATAGGTACCTCCTACTTTGGCTTTAAATCATTTCAAAACCAGGCCCCAACCTAGATTTCCAGTTCATTATATCCTTGTATTCTATTGATTAGGAATCTGCATTTGTTTTTCCTTCATGAATTATCTGTTAATAACCTTTACTTTCTTTTCTATTGTGGCTTCCATGTTTTTCTTTTTAAAGTAAAAATTAATACATGTTAATTGATCTGCTAGAATAATAAAATGCTTTAAAAGTAGCTAAGAAAATACATAGAATATATGAGAACTCACAGGGAAAAATAGAACGGCTCCAGAGAATTCATTTCAATCAAGTTTTTCATTTATTTGATTTGAGAAGTTGGTGGTGAAGCATCATAGACCACAGAGAGTGGGCACAACCAGGGGCAGGAGAATGGAGAGGGTCCCATACTAATTTCAGGATCAAAGTACCCAACAACTGAACCCCATAGGGTTAAATGTGATTTTTTAAATTGCAATGCTATAAAGACACATTAGAGAAGTAAGGAGGATGAATCATGCCATTAAGACCCAAAATTAAAGTGAGAAGGACTCTTTGGTGCATTTGATAGGGGTGTTCAGGAAGAGAAAAAGCAATGTGGAGTCTAGAGTTATTTGAAGGCCTGGGAGAAAACTTAGAAAGAAAAAAAAATCAGCCAATTGTATCAAAGGGATTGAACAAGAGAATATGAATGGAGTAGAAGATTCTGAATGTTCTGCAATAATCCAGTTCTGAAATGGGAAGTTCTTTTCACTTTCCAGACCACAGAGAAATAACAAAGTAGCTACAGGAAGCCTTGGGAAAATGAGACCAACTGGTGAAAGAGATTTCTGAATTGTTGGAATATTTGAGTTATAAAATATCTGAAAAAATAGTTCGGTTTACTGCAGTAGCATCCTGAAGTATCACAAATCTATCCTCTAAGCTGCTGCTAAAGAAACTTTACTAAAGCACAAATCTGATGGTGTCACACCCTGATTAATACTCTACAGTAGTTCTCTGTGTTTCAGGATGAAGCTGGAACTCATTAGCTTAGCTCATAAAGCCCCTTATGAATTGATTGTTATTTCTCTAGTCTCATCTCTTGATAATTTTCTGTTAACATTAATCTTTTTCGTCTATGGATTTATCTGTAGTTACATGTGCATGAGGTTGCCAGAAGTTGAGGGAAGACTCCATGGCAGCTAACAATAACAACAACAAAGTGGACGCAGTAGAATGTTAGTACTGCAGGAATGGAAGGATTCTGTGATCAAAGAAGGCTGGGAGATATTGGTCAATTAGACATAACCAGATTCTTCTTACTGAGCTATTACGCAGTCTCTAACACAGAGACACGCATTGTGCCTCGCATACAGAGGAGTAAGGTATGCGGCAGTCCTTCAGTTTATACAAGTGCAAAAACCAGTTTGGGTCCCCACTGAAGAGTTTCTCCATGGTTTCATACTCCAAGGAAAAACAATTGGAAAATAATGCATTATGCTCTCTGACGCCTTCATGATTTCTCACATCTTTTAACACTGAAAACTCCAAACGCAGTTTTCATCCAGCCAGCCAATCAATTGCTGCTTGTGCCTCAGTGGTTTTCCCCTGGGGAATGACCTCTTTGTCTGACTCAAATGTTTTTCTCTTCTGAGGTTGACAGCCTGCTGTGCATGACTCTATTACACAATCAGCTCTCTATTCTCTAACGATTGATTTACTTGTCTCTCTTCCCCCAAGGACTGCAAGTTCCTTGAAGGCAATGATCTATCAATGACAAGACTTCACTTAGTTCTAATGTGGTACTTAGTATGTGCTTAGCGAATATTTGTTAAATGTAGGAATGAAAGATGATACAAAACTAAATCAAAATTTTCACGAAATTTCACATTAATTAGTTCTATCTAAACATTAAACATTAAAATTTCATCTGCAGATATCAGTAATGCCATATAACACAGTATTAGGGGAATCATCCTTAAATAGCTATAGAACCACTTGAGGAGCTAATAGACTTGGGTTTCTGTCTTGGTTGTGAGATTTTATATCTGTCTGTGACCACATATAACTTTGAGTCTACATTTCCCTTTCCTTTAACACCAACTATCTGCTTATATGATCAAATGAAGTAATGTATGTGAAAGTGTTTTGAAAATGTCCAGGAACCATGAAAATATCAAATTATTACTACTCAGTTATTTACTTGCTTGCATACACACTTCTGGCATTTTTAAAGAGTAAAGCACAGGTAGCCATGCCCTGTCACCCCTACAAATTCTACCCATGGGCTGTTCTATAGGAAAAATCTTGGCAAAATAGGGAAAGGGGGGAGAAAAAAAGCACTTAACATTTTTCAAATCTATTATAGGATATAATTTTACAAGTTGTAAGACAGTTTTATGTTTTGAAATCAAGCTCTCAGTTTCAAAAGGAAATGACAGAGAACCATCTGGCTCTTCAATCAGTCATGTCTAACCCACACCACCTATAATCTAAGCAAAAGAAATGACTGTACTGATTTTTCAGAGAACTTGTGAGTATCTAAAATTACAGACAGGGTGGCCTTCCTCAAGATTAGGTACACAGGAGTTTGGATAGCATGATTAAGGCCCATACTGCATTATTACTATAAAAACTCACCTTGTTTTTGAATTCTGGACAGGGTGAATGATTTCCATTTCCCATCATTATGGTTTTGATTGCTGACAACGGAAGCCATTCCTGAACCCAGATCATAGCTGACTTTTATGTGTCCATCGATGAGCTCTACACTCATAAAATCTTTCTATTAATAGGGCAAAAAAAAAAACAAACAAACAAACAGTGATTCGATACACTGAGAAATATGGTATTTGCTTTTCCTTGGTGTTTATAATAGGGATTTATGGCGAATTCACTGAATGTGTTGCCCTGTAATAGAAATCTATTCTGGAAAAATAGAATTGGTGTTGCTATTATTGTGTACTTTTGTGGGTGTGATGTTATGTTGCAAATGGTCACAACCAAATTACTAGATTGTATCCTTTTATTACAGTAGAATTTACTAATAAACATTGATCCGGAAAGAAATAGGGCAAAACAATATTTAGAATCCTCTTTTAATTTAGGTCTCTGGAAGAAGACTAAAGAAGTAGTTTGCTACTGCATGATTCCATACTGGGAAAATGTTTACTGGGTGCTTCTCTGAAAGGATTACATGGGAGTTATATTGAAAATAGTAATTAAATTGTATCTGTGAGTAAAGTTATCAATGAAAATATGTCAGCACTCTTTCTGACACTAGCACTTCTACACTCACACTTGTCTATCACACAGCCATCCCAGATTCCTTTTAACAATAATTGGTAATGTTAACAATAACTGATGATTTTATTAGAATCTTAAGGAAAAGAAGCAAGCACATTTTCAATCATGGAAGAGCTGCTGTGCATATGTTTACCAGGTCTCGTGTGGCAAGGTACATCAGGAGAGCACTTGAAGAAAATGTCCTGAACTTGAACATGACAGTGGAGATGTTTGGATACCAGCGAAGAGGACGGCTGACCAATGCATAACCTTCTCCATCAAACTGAATAGTCCCTTCACTATCTTCCACCTGAGGACTGAAGAGAGAGACATTTCACATGAACATGGCAACATCTACTTAGTCCATACATTAAACTGTCCTCTAGAACTAGACTGTAAGCTGCTACAAGGCAGGAACCATCTCAAATACATCGACCCTTTTACTTCTCTCCATCCCCACTGCCACCATCCTAGACCAAGTAACAGTCATCGCTCACCTGGACTTTTTAATGTATCTGCTCACTTCCACTCGTGCCCTGATGAAATCTAAGCTCTAGTCACAGGCAGAGTAATCGACTCTTTCCAGCCTTAGGATCTTTAACCGTTTTGTTTTTTTACTCCCCTCTTTACTTTTATGTTTCAGTTTAAATTTATCATTTCCCCAAAGGGGACTTCCCAGACCATACGGTTCCTTTATATTTTGTTACTCATCAAGTAGGCCATTTTTTTCCTTTCTAAAACTTAACAAATTAGGTAATTACATTTAGTTATCCCTGATTATCTAAATATTTGCTAGAATGATGTATAATTATTTTTTACCTTAAATTCATTACGTGAAACCTTATATGATAAATTTATATAAATGGCATAGAAAACACATATGTTGATGTGAATCTGGATGGGAGAATTTGGAATGTTCTCCAGTAATCTCAGTTAGTGTCCCATTTCTTACTTGCAGGATTTAAACATAATCTATTGTATTCTTATTATTGCCTCCACTCTTTCCCTGAAAATTTAGCTTTTATGCATCTCAGTATTGCTATACCTGCGGGTACTGATATCCCAGGTTCAATTTAGTTTCGTTGCATCTTTAACATATTATTTTATTGTACATTAAAGTAAATGTTCCTTGCAGTCTAGAAGGAAAATATAATTTGCATCTGATTCTGTATGGTCTTGTTAGGTACTGTGCAAAAACATATCCACTAAAGATTTCATCAGGTGTTTAATAACTAGGTCATTGGTGATTTAAATGCTTTATGTTTTGCAGAAGTATTCGGTGAATGATTATATTAGTGTTTCAGTTTGTCTTAAGTGATATTTGTAGGAACTATGGGGTTTTTGGATATAATGGGATTGCATTATTATATTTCCCATTAAACATATAGAATATAGGTCCTGGTTCTCTGAACACTCAACATCCAACACATCTTTCCAAGACAGACTGGATTCAGACAATGAAGGATGCCTACATTTATCTGCATATTTATTTATCTGTCTCCTTCACTAAAATGTAGCTCTATGAGAACAATTAAGGATTATGGGCCAGACCTTATATCAGGTACAAACTCAGCATCTAGTGTGATGGTTGGCTCATAGTAGAGCCCAGTTAGTGGTATGGAATGAAGGGAATTTTAGTGTAGTAAATTGCCTCACAGAGAACACATGTTCAATCAATACTGGTTGACTAATTATTTTTAGTATATTTGTAGTATATACAATATTTTAAAAGATTTCTTTTTCAAATGTGAAGTTATCACTCTATCTATCTATGTATGTATCTATCTATCTGACCTTGTTGCAGAGTAAATCCCAATTGTGAGAATATTTTTTCAAACTTTAAACATGCATTTTGTTACTCATCAAGTAGGCCATTTTTTTCCTTTCTAAAACTTAACAAATTAGGTAATTACATTTAGTTATCCCTGATTTCTAGGATTGGAGTGTTGTATTAACTTTGGTGAAGGAAGGGGATATTGAGAAATAATACAGTAATGCCATTATAAAATAATAGGGCACTAGAATATTGTTTTTATGAAATCTTATCTATTGAGAAAAATAATACTGCACAAATATTAATGGGCTTCTGGAAGAAGAACTGTACACATTTTAGATAAATTGACTTTCTTTCTGTTCCCCGATCAGAGAGAAACAAAGTGTCGAAGACAAGAGGAAGGAAGAGTCTTGGCTTGTATATTTCAGGGTCAAGTCTTTGTAATTTTCAGTTACATCTAATGTGTAACAACACATGGTACTATCAGAAAATATTTTTTCTAATATACACTTACATATAAAAATGATTTTTCAGTATTGATGAAAAATGCTAACTGAAAGTCTGAGGAACTAAAAAAGCAGACTAACAACAGTATAATTCATAGTGAATAAGTTGGTTATTAAATAGCCTTCCCTCATCCTTAGAAGTACAATAATTTCTGGACCATTGCATTAGATATGTTGGCGACTTGGTGGTGCAGTGGTTAAGTGTTTGGCTGCTAACCAAAAAAAGTCAGCAATTCAAATCCACCAGTCGCTCCTTGGAAACCCTTTGGGGCAGTTCTACTCTGTCCTACAGGGTTGCTCTGAGTTGGTATCGACTCGATGGCAATGGGTTTGGTTTTATTTGGTTTTCTATTTAGGAGAAGATTCCTTGACATTATCAAACATTAGGATTGTACATTACATACAGTCACACTACCAATGATAACCTAGGAAAACATTATGGGAGTCATGTTGACAGCTCCCCAGATGCTTTGACCCCAAACAGTTCTACTTACTTAATATAAAAAAACAAAACATAAAATTTCACTACTCAATGTCAGAGTAAGTATTGGAATAAAAAAACATGTATCTCATTTTTTTCTTGTATAAATCTCTGGAACATTTATACCCTGATGTCTTTATGTCCCAAATCTATCAATCCCTTCAACATATAATGGAAAAAACAATAGTGGATTAGGCGGCAGATGCCCTGGGGTCTGATGTGGAATGTTACTAAGGACTTGTGTTACTTGCTTCAAGCCCCTTAACACTTCAGTTCTCGGCTTCTCAACTTTGAGATGAAAAGGTTAGATCCGAGAATGATTTCTAAGGACCTTTCCAAATCCAACACTATATGAGGTTCTCCTATTCAAGTAAATGGCAAATCTGTGGGAAAGAGTTTTGTGCTGGGAACAGCTAACCATACAGATGTAGATCAGCCTACTTCACTTAGTCCAGTAGCTGCTATGAGTCATCACCAAGTAAGCCTGGATTTGAATTGGTGACCTTGGGATTGGGAAAAAAAAAGAATCCTTTCAGAAATAATATATATTTCAACATCTAACATCATATTCATTCTGTTGTGCATAGGGTTGCTATGAATCAACAACAAAACAACATAATTAGAATTTTCATATTCATTTTGAATAGATTTTCCAGGAATAGTTACTACTATTTTAATTTATAAATGTTAAGTTTCTTAACTTGCCACTTTGCTTCTCTTTTGAACCTTTACATCTAGTTAGGTAAGTAAGAATTAATTATGTTATTTTGGGATAGCCACACTCTTCCACATGTAACTTAAAAACTATAGAACTAGATGTATATCGAGATTTAAGATAATAATAATTCATTATCATTTCGATGTTGAGCTTAAATACTTTTACTTGTAGCAGTTCTTTTTTCCGTATTTTAGTCTTAATGTGATTCTCAGAAGTGTAAGAAATAAGATACACTCCTTTTTTATACTAGTGACAGGTTAATTGTTCTAAAACTTGGCAACAAATTACATCTCTTCTACTGATTGCTGAACAAATACGAATTTCTAAAACTGACATTCTACGGTTTTCTATGAGATTTTCCCAGTCTACTGTTTGCAACCTCGTCTTTTACATCTCCCTCCTGTATTCATGTCTGCTTTTTAACTGAAATGACTAGTCTTTATATTAAAATATGATATATAGTCTTCTGAAACAAGCAAACAGACAAACAAAAAGCAACCAGGAGTTCTGTAAAAAATCATCCCTACAAATACCAGAGCTTATGGGAAACTAGCATTGGGGTAGATCACTCAAAACCCATGCAATTTTGTAAGCAGAGGGTTCACAAAAACAAAAACAATCCTAATCTGCTCAATCAGTTTGGAGAGTTCTCTTACTAAGAGAAAAAAAAAAATTATGACTACAAGATACCCGTGGACACACAAAACCCCCTGGACACAAAGGGAAGGCGGAGTGGAGAGAGAGAGTGGTTTTAATTGATTGAGGTAAAGATATCTGCAATCTTTACAAAAACTTACGGCCATACAAAACATTGCTAGTGTATCTCCTAGAGCCTTGGAAAGTGCGTGCACAAATGGGGGTAGGAACTTGAAGTTTCATTAGTTTCATGGTAAATCCACCTTTGAATACAGTCACTTCAAACCTGCTCCACATCGTCGACGTGCTGATAAAATATTGCACAATGAACTGAAAGCTTTTGTGATGCACAGGGAAGACCTTGGGAGAGTCATTATCTCAGCTAACCTGACTGTACATCCTTTGCAGTCACCTTCCTTTTCTCGGAAATTCCACAACCCTATAGGCTTGCTGTCAAAGTATGTCTCTCCCATACAGCCAGTGAATGTGATCACGCGTACAGCATCGGCCTTCTGCAGAGAGAAATAATATGCTTGTTAGAATTTAGAGTTTCAAAAATAATCTTGGATTTCCCATGAAAGTTATTAGCAGCAGAATCTGGAGTAGTTATTATCCATTCTTTCAGATTTTCTTAGATTGACATATTCAACTTTTAACCATGTTACATTCCCACAGCTACTACAGAATGGGTCAACAAAGAGGAAAAGCTCAAACACTTCATTAACTGATTCTGGTTATTCTGTGCTATACCAGTTTATTGCCATTAGTAGATAAACACTTCCCTAGCTTGTGACTTTATTGAGCTGCTTATCTTCTTTGAGATTTTATATTTTCATCTGTGAACTGGGATTATTGTGGTAAATAAATTAGATTATGGTACTAAGTTCAGCATCTGGCACTGACAAGGTGTTCAGTAAACGTTATTGTTCCTTATCTCTTCTCTTTAGGCAAACCTGGGCCACTGAATACATTAAGAAGATTCTCTCCAAAGATCAAGAAAAGGGGTATACAAATATACATATATTTGTATATAGGTAAGTAATAAATATATAATTTGTATATAGGCAAGTTATATATATACATATATATATAAATTTTCCTAGGATAGTGCTATCCTCAATTTTTTATTTCCTTTCACACCCAAGAAATTTTCCAGTTTATGAGAATGAAGGGAAAATGACTAATTTTAGAAGAGAAAAGACCTTGTTGGTGTTGTTTGCTGGTAAACAAGGACAGGGCTTGACATATAATCACCAAAATATGTTGCAGTCGAGTCGATCCAGACTCATAGCGACCCTATCGGACAGGGTAGAAATGCCCTCGTGGGGTTTCCAAGGCTGTAATCTTTACAGAAGCAGACTAGCACATATTTCTAATAGGAGACCAGTAAATATTCATTGATTGACAACGCTGGTGGTGTCATTCTTACAGGGAAAGATCTGAAACTTAAAACATGTCGCCATCACTGAAGGAGTGGAATGACCTGTTCCACTCCAGAACATCTTTTTTTTTTAACATTTTTTTGTGGTTTAGGTGAAAATTTACATACTCAATTTGTTTCCTATTCAATAATTCATACACAAACTGTACCATGACATTGGTTGCAATCACCACAATGTGTCAGCACTCTCCCCATTTCTACCTTGGGTTCCCCACTTACATTCATCCGGTTTCCCTATTCCTTCCTGCCTTCTCATCTTTGCTTTTGGGCATATGTTGCCCTTTTGGTCTCGTTTAGTTGATTGTCCTAGGGAGCACATTCCTCACGGGTGTTACTGTTTATTTTACAGGACTGTCTATTATTTGCTTGAAAGGTGATCTCTGGAATGGTTTCAGTTCCACGTTAGAAGGGTGTCTTAGGGTTATAGTCTCAATAGTTCCTTCGGTCTATCAGACCAGTATCAATTCATTTTTTATGAATTTGAATTTTGTTCCACAGCTTTCCCCTACTCTAACCGGGACCTTCTACTGTGTTCTGGATCAGAGCAGTCGGTAGTGGCAGCCGGGCAACATCTAGTTCTTTTTGTCTCAGTTTAGTAGAGGCTGTGGTTCACGTGGGCTATTAGTCCTTTCGACTAATTGCTTCCTTGAGTCTTTGGCTTCCTTCACTCTCCTTTGCTCCAGATGGAAAGAGACCAATAGTTGTATCTTAGATTGCCACTGGCAAGCTTTTGAGATCCCAGATGCTATTCGCCACAGTAAGATGTAGAACATTATCTTTATAAACCATGTTATGCCAATTGACCTAGATGTCCCCCAAGACTATGGTCCTCAGCCCTCAATCCCAGTATCTTAGTCCCACAACATGTTTGGTTATATCTAAGAAGTTTCCATAACTGTGTCATCAACATATTCTATTATACATATGAATAAACATGCAGCACATATAAATATGTATGCAGAAATATCCACAACCATACATATATATGCTCTCAGCTGTACTCCCGTACAGCCTCCCACACCTATTTAACATACATATCTATCAAAGTATCCCCTCATAAATTATTTTTTGTTATTACTGTTGTTGTAGGATTGTATATGCTATGGTATTTACCATAGTTGTCTTTTATTCTTGGTAACCTCTCAGTGTCTTCCCTTGCCTTGGTCATGTTATGCTGACTTTCCCATATTGTGTATTGCCTTTCCCTTCCAGGGCATCTTGTTATAATTTAATAGCTATTGATTTTGATATTCACGTATGACAAGTAAATACTATATTCTGGTGCCTTATACATTTGGAAACTCTGCATCAAAGCTAATCCACATTTACCTGAATAATCTTGGGAAAAAAATGAGTCAACATATTTGAGTTCTTGAACTAATGTAAGAAGATGGTCACTGAATAGTTAAAATGTCTAGTTTTAACTTTGCTATATAGAGAGAATGCTGATTAGAGCCACTGACATTTACAAGTCAGAATGGTCCTTGCAATTCTCCGTCATCACTCAAAGCCTCTGTTAATTGTCCAGAGGTTGATTATCCTACTTTTGGATTCTACTTGATTTATGCTTCTCCTTTTTTCATCTTGAAAGACTATACTTGAGACATGTTCCTGCTCATTTGAATTTTTATCAGCAAGTTCATTTAGTTACTTGTTTTCAGCTTTGGGTTCATATTCTGGTGTGGCAGGAGCCTTAATACTCTTGGTCAAAATGATTTTTAAAGATTTTCTGTAGATTTCATTTGTCTATGTCTTCTTTTTCCCTGAGACTGAGAAAAGAAAGTTGCTTTGTACCAGTGACATTTGAATAATAACAATTCCTGGAATTCAAGGTGTGACTACTGCCATGTCTTAGGCATTAGTCATTTATTTTATACATATACTCTCATTATTCATTGTGGCGATAAAGCGTGGTGACTCCTCGTAAAGAGTGAAGATTTACTGCTGCTGGTTTCCTTGTGTTCAAGTTCCAGCTCCACCATTAACTAGCTGTGTGAGCTCAGGCATGTCACTTACATTCTCTGTGCTTCAGTTTTCTCAACTATAAAATGGAGACTATATAACTACCTTTTGGGATGGTTGTGAGAATTCAGTAAATTAATTCTTAGAAATTACTTAAAATAGTACTTAGCACATAATCAGGTCTGTATTAATGTTATAAAAGTTTATTATTCTATTCTACAATATGCAAGCAAAGTAGATATTTTTATCTCCTTTTTCTAGTTGGAAAAAACTGAAGTCCAAGAGGTTAGCTGACTTGCTTATGGTTATATTTTCGTCAATGCTAAAGTATGGAATCCAACTCAGATTTCATTTCAGAAGTCATGGCTTTTGTACTATGCTGTGCTACCTCTATATTTATCTTTCTGGGGAGGAGAGAAACTTGACAATATGACTATATATTACTATGTACCGTATACATTTATATGCAGTTGTAAGAAATGAGGATGATTTTAGTGTGTAGTTGTGGAATCAATTCTTATACTTTAGAGTCACATTTCATACACAAAGCAAAAAAAACTTCACTCTATATGAAGGTTCAGTTCTCATAAATTTGAGGTCACCGTGGCTTTTCAAATTTTCTGACTAATCTCATCCTAGGATGATTCTGACAAGCCCAGGATTATCCATTACATTTGGTTATGCTCTTACATCTCACCCCCGGGTCGTTTTCCAACATCTAATTCTATTTAAACAACATGAGCTCCTTTAAAATGTAGGCACTTTGTAATTTGAAATGCACAAGTACCTGTCATGAAGCAATTATGAATATTAAGTGCATTACCCTATAAGAAAGAGGAGAAGCGCAACTCAGAAACTTTTAAAACCAGATCATGATTTGAAAGCTTATGGCTCCTGTGATATTTCCCAAGGTATTCATAAATCTTTTAATTAGATGTGAATATGAACTTTATAGCACTTGATATCTATAAATCATAAACTGATTCAGAGAATGAGGTATATTTAAAAAAAAACACTTTGCTCTGAAAGCGACTTAAATGAGAATGACAAAAAATTGATGCTGCAGATAAGGGCAAAACAGCAACTGTTTAAGGTAAATATACTTATAGGCTTAAAACCATACATTTCTAGGTTGAAATTCACAAAAGAAAATTCTTGCTCAAGATAAATTCATGTTTTTGAGTAACACAAGGTTTGAGAAACACAAGTTGTCAAAGTGACCAAGTCTTTGCAGAGCTTTATCTTGCCTTCTCTGAGAGTGATTAAGATCAGGTGTTGCCTGTCTATAAAGATGAAATGAACAGAATGGGGAAGAGCGCATTACCTTTAGTTTCCCAGTCAAGCCACCAACAAACAGCATTGCGTTTGCATCCACATCTAGAATAGTATACCCTGGGGGAGAGACTGAATTGTATGTACTGGGCACAATGCTGGCTTTGGGTCCATCCAGAGCTCTCACAGAAATTGTTCCATTTCTCCCAGTTCTTCCAGAGTTGTGTGTTGAAGGAAGAAAAAAAATATACAAAGTGAAACATGTACCACATTTCTGAGTAACTATAAACTTAAGAGGGATAAAACAAAGAGACTTGTTCCGGAATATTTAGGAAATAACTGGGCTTTTAGCTTCAGACATTCCAGATTCATTAAATCTCAAATCAAAACTCAGAATCTGATCTTCACTGGAGGCGTGTGGTCAGACCCAGCCAGGGCCAGACAGCAACATACCCTGATCCTGTGGCTGTCTACTGATGTGAAATGACAACAGTAGCAATTAGCTGATGGAAATTGGTATTGGTTAAGTGGAAAGCCTTTTTCCTATTGCTCTACCTAATAATTTAATATTTATCAACATAAGCTTTTTAAACAAGTTAATATTACTTCATTTAGCATGTTATTTTATTTAATTTAGCAAGTGAACCCTGAGAGAGCCCCCCTTCTGCATTATAAGTTGCATAATTTTTCCTAAAATCCCTTATTGTATCTCGGATCCAAATTTGCTGATGTAGTCTTCCTGGAATTGTACCGTCTTTTATCGTTTGGCACATCATCTTAACGCACATAGGGTAAAATCTAATCTTCAGAGCTGTGTGTACAAATTGTATAGAAGAATTTCACTTTTGAATTCAATTAATAGACTTTTGAAAGCTACTATCATTTTATTTCATTTTCTTTTTTCAAGTAATTGATTTCCATGGATTGTTTAAGATGAAAATCTGGTCTCTCTTCTAAGACAAGCAGTCATACCAAAACTTCAGTGTCATATTTCTCTTCCTGTTGTCTCATTTTGGTAATTGTTTTTTTTCTTTGAGGGTACAGTACTAAATGAAATACATGGAAAAAATTGAATGAATTTATTCAAATGGGTTCATCTCTTTAATAGAAAGTTTTTCTTCTGATAGAAGAACTGTACTCTGTTGAGCATAAATGTCCTTATTAGTACTTAATCCCTCCAACACCACTACTCCTTAGCACATTCTCTTTCTCTCTCTTACACACACACACACACACACTTTCGCTGAAGATCTTAAAAAGGAAATATTGTTTCTCATTGTTGTTGTTGTTAGTTTCCTTTGAGCCGATTTCCGACTCAGAGTGACCCCACGTGACAGAGCAGAACTTCCCATAGGATTTTCTAGGCTGTAATCTTTATGGGAGTAGGCTGTCACGTCTTTCTCCCTCAGAACCAGTGGGTTCGAATGGTCAACCTTTCAGTTAGTAGCTGAGCACTTAACCATTGAAATCACCAGGGCTCCTTTGCTTCTCATTAATTTTTTATTTTTTAATAAAAACTTTCTTTATGGAAAAATTTAAGTATATGCAAAACATAGAGTGGAAATTTTTGTATCCATCATCTAGATTCAACAGTTACCACTTCAAGTCTTCTTTGCCATCTCAGACGAGCCTCTTCTCTAGCCCTGGGCCCTTAACCATACCTTTGAACTGTTAGCTGCTTTGGGTTTAGTAGGAGTTGAGAATTGGGAAAAGAAGAAATGAAAATGAGAGAGCAGTATTGAGGGTAGGAATGAGTACTGTAAGCAATCTATACACTGTTAAAAGTTGGTAACTGAATTAAAGCTTCAAAGTAGACAGAATTACTGAATCAATTTCCTATTACCTCCCATTTGAAGACAGTGTGCGGACCTAACATGTTACATACTCATGCAGCATTCTGATGTTGCATATGCCTGTAGGCCATATTGCTATGAAGCCGAGAAGAGGAAGCTGTGCACACCGGTGACAGGCAGCAATGGTAGCTCTTATGCTCTGGCTTGTGTTCAATGAGGACAAGCATCAGAGACTTCTTTTTCAGGAGAGAGAGGGTATCTAAAAACAATCTAAATGCCTAAATTCCTACAGGACACCACATACAGGGCTCAGAAAGGGACTTGTAACTCTAGTCAATACCTCAAAGGTCTGTCAGTTCCTAGCAGGCACTCCAAAGGTAGCCATTTCCCTACACATATGTGTATGTGTGTGTGTGTGTGTGTGTTTTCAACTATATGTGCATACATGCATACACAGCTGTTTTGTGAAATGAAAATAAGAGTTTTCTTATCAACTGGAAATCTACTTCAAAGTTCTGTCATATTCAATAACCTTAATCTTTACTAAATTAGTTACCTTGATGCTTCAATACGGTACCAATATGAGTCATCAATAGTCAAATCCGGATATTCTACACGTCCAACTCCAGATCCAACATCCCAAAGGAAGCTTACTTTGCCTTTACGCATTTCTATAGCCAGAAAGTCAATCTAGCGCAGAGAAACACAAAAACAATAGATATCCCATATAAATCACCCTGAAAGAGGAGGCCAGTGGAGTTATTTCTGACTGGTGTCATTTATAGATATTTTAAATAACTGGAAGCCTCACAGTAAGACTCCCCAAATGATGTGCTCTATTATTATGTATGATTAAATTGATATTTTACTATTACAGCTTTAAGGCAACATATATGTCCTTCCCACAGAGGCATATGTGTTAATTTCACCAATTCTGGTTAGGTCTGACTTTGAGACAAAAGATTTTTCTCACTCTGGTACTTGTAGTAGAAATAAAAGCAAATCTTTGAATTAAAAACTCATTGTTGTTTTCCCCCAGGACACTGATATTTTTGAGGGTGTAGCTATGTTTTTTTATTTTTTATTTTAGCCAGTGTGACCCAGAACTCCTCATTTGAATGGTAAGTAGTGACTGATATCATGATTGAACTATTAAAAAATCTGATTTATTTTGGAACATCCCCATGCAAGCAAAGTCACGTGGTGCCAATGAAAGGAATTAGCACTTTTTCTACGGCCTTTTGTAGACACAACTTCTGTTACATCCATTTGAGTCATAAATTCAACATGAATCAGAAGAGTTTTCTTTGGTAAGAGATTAGCACACAATTTGCCACTTTCACTTCATTAACATGAAAGTATATTGTAAAAAGTTATTTAATTCTTTATGTGAGAAAAGTAAAAAACGAATGAACAAAATGAAACAAAACCCTTCATCTTAAATAGCTGGGTCTAAAACTACTAAAAAATAAATGCTGGCATACCCACAAATTAAAGTAAATGTGTCTAAATTCTGTTGGAAAAAAAAAGTCTTCACTTGACATTTCAGAACGTTGTGAGGTAAGCTTCCAAGGTTTTCATTTTTGGAAGGCTACATTAGATGATTTTGGGGCCATGTTATTGGACTCTATACATATCCCCTACTTCAGAAATTAACTTCTGACTGTAAATATACACAGTAGGCCAAAGAAAAACTGAATATTAGACTTACAAATTTGGCACTTCCAAGATAAAAAAGAAGATTGTCAGCAACAGCTGTCTTGACATTGATAATGATATTATTGTAGCTTCCTTTCTTGATTTCTGGCTTGTATGTTCGAATGCAGTCACCTCCCGAAGACACAGATACTTTGATCTTCAAGAAAAACAAGGTACAAAGAACCAAAACTAAATCTCTCAAAAAGTTTGAAGTAGCTCCCAAACAACCATTGAGCTGTCATCATTTCTTCTTTGAAGTTATTTTTCTGTCATCAAATAGTATCATTAAATGCCCATATGCTGACACCATTATGCTCATTAACAAGAGCAAAGAAGAGCTAGTTTTCACAATGAGCTGTTCACTGTCCCATGTCTTGTTAGTATGCTACTACTTTTTTGAAACATGCAGCTAACAAATTCTTACCTTCATACCTTTCTCCTTTACAAAAACAGGAACAAAGAGGAAACATTTTCAAAAGATGATTTTACATGAATCTAATGGTAATGATTTTCATTAAAGTTGTTTAATGAAATCTTAAGATTGAAATTTCAGTGATTTGGGTATCAATTAAAGTAGGAAACTGTGTTTTCTTTGAGTTTTTAAGAGAAAAATTACCTACCCCCCATGTTCTTAGCATTGAAAGAGGCCATATAGATTTTATTCGAACAATAAGAATAATATTAATCATTCCACTCAGAACATATATTTCAGAATAAATTATACCTTTTTTATTAAGTTGCTAGGAAGTGAGATGGAAATGATTTCCAGTGGCTATCACTACTAATGTATGTAACAGCTCCTTTTTCTTTTGACTAGTACTTTAAAAATTACTATAAATTGCTACAAAAGGAATCCCTTTGTGAATAGGACTGACGCTGCTCAGACCAATTTTTACTTACACTTAGGGAGGCTTTCTTCAATCCCAAATAACACTAGTTGATTATTTGAGCTAATTTCCTTAGGTGAGGTGCAAAATCTCCATCAGCTCATCAGGATGATTTCAGGACAGCAACGTAGTTGCTTGGACTTAGAAACTGTTGTTCTGCCCAGTAATAGAGTCCTTAAAGTGGGAGGCAGAGACAGAGAGGGTGTAAGGCCTCTCTTTGCCATGGGCTCAAATTCCCATCCTCAGGAAGCTTCTTGCCCCTTGTTGCTAGAAGCAGATCATCAGACCTGTCTTCCAATGAGCCTCTGGGTGGCTCGAACCACCAAACTTTTGGCTAGTAGCTGAGCACTTTGTGCCACCCTTACTAGTCGTGAATTTCCATTTTCTCATTTCTTCTAGCGTTTTGCATTACTCATATAGTTTGCAAACATAATAAATACAGTTTACTCAGATAGCTTGGAAGAAAGCCACCTAGCGTTATTGTTACCCCCATGGAAGGGACTCTTAGATTCCAAACAAGATAGCCTAGGTCACCAAACCAGTCTCCATATTATGGTGACACAAAGGAATGTCTCCAACAGCCTAAATAGGGTGTGAGTGTAGGCAGCACTGTGAACTCTCTCTAAGCGTGGTGCAGACGATACAGAGGTGGTGCTGGGTGCAAACTTTAGTTCTGGCAAATAAGTAAATTCAGATATATATGTTTGAGAATGTCTAGGGGTACAGCAGATCTGTTGTGTCTCCTGCAGACCCTGCATAACCAGTTCCTGTGGAGTTGATTTCGACTCATGGTGACCCCATGTGTGTCAGAGCAGAAATGTGCTCCATAGGGTTTTTGATGGCTGATTTTTCTTCCAGGGCACCTCTGGGTGAACTCAAACCTCCAACCTTTTGGTTAGCAGCCAAGTGTATTAACCATTTGCACCATCCAGGGACTCCAAGGCCCTGAGAAAGTCATGTATTTGAATACCACTGCTGCATTACCTAATTTGCTAAACAAACCGCATCACTATGCAGAGGAAACTATGTGTTGGAAAGAGATAAGAGGGTCACTCTCCTGGAGCCCTGTGTCGTAACCTGGGGCTGGAACCATCTAGGAAGCCTGCTGCTCAGACTGTTTTCTCTGATCTTGCCTTCTCCTGGAGGATGCAGGCCAGCGTACAAACTGAAGACCCTAGTACTGTATCAACTCTGATCCCTACAGGGTTTGTTCTGTGTCCTGGGGTGATGGTCTTCCTGGTGGTGCAGTTTTCAGACAGGATGCTCTTTGCTCTGCAGATAAAGGGACTCCCCCTCTCTGTTCCGTGCTCAGAATAAGTGAATCAAAATGAGTTGTGGAAAATCTGAATCAGGAAATGCACAACTTTTACTCTGGATTTTAATGATATAAAGCAGATATGTGATAGGGATTGGCAGAGGCTGTTACATGATAGAGTAGTAGCTATACAAAGAGTTATCTGAGGGCTTAGAGTAAAAAAAAAAATAAAGCAAAACAAGAGAAAGCCAATACATTAGAGGGCAGGTAGAGGGAATGCATTCTTCAAAGGTTTTCAATATCCAGGTAAAGGTATAGCAGATAGCGCATGTTTAGGAATTTACAGCACGTGAACCAAAACCGTTATCAGAAAAGACCTTGGCAGTGAGCAAATTTAATACCTGAAGCAAGCTGTAAGTGTCATTGACATCAAAAGGAGATCAAACAGAACAAAAAAAATCAAGATCTGACTAGAATTCACGACTGGGAATGAGTAATAGACACAGCTATCCCTGGAGGGAAATCATATCCAAATTCCTAGTGGGACTGGATGAGTAGTCAAACGTAACTGTGTAGTTTGTCTTATCTATACTTCGTCTGGACCATATTATGGCTAGTTTAATCATAAACAAGTCATTTTTTTGTTTTAAGAATACAATTGAATGACATTCCTCAGTTGCTGGTTAGAGAAGGATTAACTGAATATAGGTAGAATGCACTGGCCAAAGAAAGAGTTTCAACCCCTGCTGGGTATGCTAGGTAGAAATGACAGAGGATTACATGATTCGTGTGTTGGAAAGGAGAGTTTGCCAAAACTGGAGAAGACAGAGTACCAGTACTGAAACCTAACGGAAGTGATGAAAGCATCTGAGAATTGAAGGTCTAGAAGAGTTGCTATTTTAACATTAGGGAATCTCACATCACTAGGAGTCATGATTAATCTACTTTTGGCATACTTAAGATATCTAAAAATTAAGGCTTTCTGAACAAATGATGTAATACTCACTATGCTAGCAATTAATCTTGTAAAATAACCTACTGCTCAAATCTTGCTCGTTCTATAGAAAACCCTCTGGATTTCTTGTTTTGTTTCTTGTTTCCTCTGTGTTTTGATTTCCAATTATAGATACTTCTTTTAACCACTTAACCTATAAATCACAGTATAATATTAATAAATTTCTCTAGAGGAAATCTGTAGTATATATCCCTCTTGTAAGAAGTGACAAATTTCTGAAATACAAATATCTTCATAGGACGTTTGGTTCTATCAATTATTGTTATTTTTAATCTGAATCCTTAGCGTGCCTTGTAAATAAAAATCACTAAGCATTAGATATCTCTAAGGCATTTTTCATTGAACATTACTTACCAGTTAATCATCATGAATTCAATTAAACATTATTGAGTATCCCATTATTATAATCTATTGGATTTTTACTACATTTTCTATCCAATCATTCACTTAAAAATATTATCAGCCACTCAATAACAGAGTCAACAAACCAAAAGAAAGCCACTTTAAAATCAATGTCTTCTTTTTCTTGGTCATATCCAGTATGTGTTAAGGCCACATGCACGCACTTGTACCAGGTTTTAAAACACATTTGTAAAACAGGCAAATGTGATCTTCAGTTAGTATAAAGTGTATTTGGGAAAAAAAATTCTGCATGTATATTTCTAATATCTTACAAAATATAAGGCATTTTGTTGTAACTTCTATTTCTATAAGTGATTGAAAATGTCCTTGAAAGGCATGGACCATGGTTAATTTTTCTAGAATTACTTTTATACCTTTCATTCATTTTGTATTCTGTAGTTTGTATTTATATATGTCAGAATTTTATCATCTTTTTTGGGGGGGGTTATTCACAACTCATGAATATACAGGCATATTGTTAGATTTCTTTACAAGAGGAAATAATAAAAATGTACAGATTTCCCCTTTAGATGACTAAGGCAAAAAATATGAGTAAAAGTGTAATTCACAAAGAATATTTGCTGTTACTGCTTCTTCAAAGTTAACATTGCAAAATACAGGAGTGGTATATCAATTTCTTCCTTTCTCTTGCCACTGCCACAGCTAAGGTTGGGTCTCTTATTAAATTTGCTTCCTTCTTTTTAGTTTCTCTCATCTATCCCACAAACTACTTCAAGATTCATATTAAAAAAACATAGCTCTGATTGTACCACATTTCATGGTCAATAACTTGCAACTTATCCTTGCCAATGAAGTTTATCCCAGATACAATTGTTGCTAAATGAAACTGCTTAACTTACCATTCAAGGCCTGACAAGAACCGATCTCCACTGACCTTTCCAGTTCAATGTTCACTCTATCGATCACTCTTGGAAAACTAGACCACTCTTTCATGAACCAACCCTGAAACTTCCTCTTTACTCTCTGCCTTGGCTCAAGACATTTCCTCTTCTCAGAATTCTCTCCCTCATCATACTCCCCTCTCACATCCCACTTCAAGGCCTGGTTCAAATCATTCCCTTTAGGAAATCTTTTAGTATCTGCAAGAGCTGATTTTTCTCAACTTCTGTAGCACTTCTCATGTAATGTACTAAAATATTCTGCATTATCTTAGAGTTGTTTGCATATATGTCTTATTTCTTCTGTTGTTGATAGGTGCCGCCAAGTCACTTCCAACTCATAGCAACCCTATGTACAACAAAATGAAACACCGCCTGGTCCTTTGCCATCCTCACAATTGTTATGCTTGAGTCCATTGTTGCAGCCACTGTGTCAATCCATCTTGTTGAGGGTCTTCCTCTTTTTGGCTGACCATTTACTTTACCAAGCATGATGTCCTTCTCCAGGGAGTGATCCCTCCTGATAACATGTCCAAAGTATGTAAGACATAGTCTCACCATCCTTGCTTTTAAGGAGCTTTCTGGCTATACTTCTTCTAAGACAGATTTGTTCGTTCTTTTGGCAGTCCAAGGTATATTCAACATTCTTTGCCAACACCATAATTCAAGGGTGTCAGTTCTTCTTTGGTCTTCCTTATTCATTGTCCAGCTTTCACATGCATATGAGGCGATTGAAAACACTGTGGCTTGGGTTAGGTGCACCCTAGTCTTCAAGGTGGCATCTTTGCTTTTTAACACTTTAAAGAGGTCTTTTGCAGTGGATTTGCCCAGTGTAATACATCGTTTGATTTCTCTACTGCTGCTTCCGTGGGTGTTGATTGTGGATGCAAGTAAAATTAAATCCTTGACAACTTCAATATTTTCTCATTTATCATAATGTTGATTATTGGTCCAGTTGTGAGGATTTTTTTTTTCTTTATGTTGAGGTATAATCCATATTGAAGGCTGTAGTCTCTGATCTTCATCAGTAAGTGCTTCAAGTTCTCTTCACTTTCAGCAAGCAAGGTTGTGTCATCTGCATACTGCAGGTTGTTAATGAGTCTTCCTACAATCCTGACGCCACAGTCTTCTTCATATAGTCCAGGTTCTTGGATTATTTGCTCAGCATACAATTGAATAAGTATGGTGAAAGGACACAACCCTGACACACACCTTTCCTGACTTTAAACCATGCAATATCCCCTTGTTCTGTTTCAACAACTGCCTCTTGATCTATGTACAGGTTCCTCATGAGCACAATTAAGTGTTCTGGAATTCCCATTCTTAGCAATATTTTCCATAATTTGTTATGATCCACACAGTCGAATGCCTTTACACAGTCAATAAAACACAGGTAAACATCTTTCTAGTATTCTCTGCTTTCAGTCAGGATCCATCTGACATCAGCAATGATATCCCTGGTTCCACGTCCTCTTCTGAATCTGGCTTGAATTTCTGGCAGTTCCCTGTCAATGTACTGCTGCAACCACGTTTGAATGATCTTCAGCAAAATTTTACTTGCATGTGACATTAACGATATTGTTCAATAATTTCCACATTCAGTTGGATCACTTTTCTTTGGAATAGGCATAAATATGGATGTCTTCCAGTCGGTTGGCCAGGTAGCTGTGTTCCAAATTTCTTGTCATAGACAAGTGGGCATTTACAGTGCTGCATCCGTTTGTTGAAACACCTCAGTTGGCATTCAGTCAATTCCTGGAGACTTGTTTTCCCCAATGCCTTCAGTGCAGCTTGGACTTCTTCCTTCAGTACTATCGGTTCCTGACCATATGCTACCTCCTGAAATGGTTGAACCTAGACAAATGTTTTTGGTACAGTGACTCCATGTATTCCTTCCATCTTCTTTTGATGCTTCCTGCATCTGTTAATATTTTTCCTATAGAATCCTTCAATATTGCAGCTTGAGGCTTGAATTTTTTCTTCTGTTCTTTCTGCTTGAGAAATGTCAGGTGTGTTCTTCCCTTTTGGTTTTCTAACTCCAAGTCTTTGCACATTTCATTATAATAGTTTACTCTGTCTTCTTGAGCCGCCCTTTGAAATTTTCTGTTCAGCTCTTTTACTTCATCATTTCTTCCCTTCACTTTAGCTACTCGACATTCAAGGGCAACTTTCAGAGTCTCTTCTGACATTCATTTTGGTCTTTTCTTTCTTTCCTGTCTTTTTAATGACCTCTTGCTGTCTTCATGTGTGATGTCCTTCACGTCATTCCACAACTCGTCTGGTCTTTGGTCATTAGTGTTCAATGCGTCAAATCTATTCTTGAGATGGTGTCTTAATTCAGGTGGGAAGTACTCAGGGTCGTACTTTGACTCTTGTAGACTTGTTCTAGTTTTCCTCATCTTCAGCTTGAACTTGCATATGAGCAATCAATGGTCTGTTCCACAGTCGGCCCCTAGCCTTGTTCTGACTGATGATATTGAGCTTTTCCATCATTTCTTTCCACAGACGTAATCGATTTGATTCCTGTGTATTCCATCTAGTGAGGTCCATGTGTATAGCTGCCTTTATGTTGGTGAAAAAAGGTATTTGTGATGAAGAAGTTACTGGTCTTGAAAAATTCTATCATCTGATCTCTGACATCATTTCTATCACCAAGGCCATATTTTCCAACTATTGCATTCCAAATCACCAGTAATTATCAATGAATCCTGATTGCATGTTCGATCAATTTCAGACTGCGAAAGTTGGTAAAAATCTTCAATTTCTTCATCTTTGATCTTAGTGGTTGGTGCGTACATTTGAATAATAGTTGTATTAACTGATCTTCCTTGTAGGTATATGGATATTATCCTATCATATCACTGACAGCGTTGTACTTCAGAACAGATCTTGAAATGTTCTTTTTGAGGATGAATACAATGCCATTTCTCTTCAAGTTGTCATTCCTGGCATAGTAGACCATATGATTGTGTGATTCAAAATGGCCAATACCAGTCTATTTCAGCTCACTAATGTCTAGGATAGTGATGTTTCTGTGTTGCATTTCATTTGTGATGATTTCCGATTTTCCTAGATTCATACTTTGTACATTCCAGATTTCGATTATTAATGGATATTTGCAGCTGTTTCTTCTCAGCAAATGAAGGTCCCAAAATCTTGACATCATCCACGTCATTAAGGTTGACTCTACTTTGAGGAGCCAGCTCTTCCCCAGTCATCTTTTGAGTGCCTTCCAACCTGAGGGGCTCATCTTTTGGCACTGTATCAGACAGTGTTCCACTGCTATTCATAAGGTTTTCACTGGCTAATTCTTTTCAAAAGTAGATCCCCTGGTCTTTCTTCCTAGTCTGTCTTAGTCTGGAAGCTCAGCTGAAACCTGTCTGCCATGGGTAACCCTGCTGGTATTTGAATACTAGATTGTAAACTTTGTGAGCAGAAGAATTGCCACATTCATGTTGGGTACTTCACGGTAGGTAGCCCTAAACATACCAAAACCAGTTGCCACTGAGTTGATTAACAGTCATGGTGACCCAACGTGTATCAGAGTAGAACTGGACTCTATAGGGTTTTCGATGGCTGATTTTTCAGAAGTAGATCACCAGGCCTTTCTTCTGAGGCACCTCTGAGTGGACTCAAATCTACAACTTTCCAATGAGCAGCTGAGCACTTTAAACAGAGATGCTTTTTCTACACTGGCTACATCTTAGATAAAACCATAAACCCTGGTTTCTTTCTACCTTATGTCTGATGTGTATAATGATCACCTGTTATACTGGTTACCTGGTCCTCATATTATTGTGTAATGTCTGCCTTCTCAGACCTTATAGCTGCTTCTTTTATTCTGATCTTCTGAAACATCATCTTTACCAATCTTTTTGTCATTTTTTTTTTTTTTAATCAGTCATGGATCCCTTTCCAAGGTTTACCTTGAACTTATTGCCTTGGCCGTGTTTAGAGGTATTAGCTATGTGTAACGGGGAAAGGGTGTTTTTTGTCATCTGGGAATCATATTCTGGGCGATTATTTAAAAAAAATCTAAATTGATGGATTTTTTAAAAAAAGGAATTCTGGCCATCCTAGCTAACTCCGAAGTTGTTAGGTCAATGGAAGTTTTGAGATAGAAGCCTTAGGTTTCTAAAAAGGTTTGAATTTAAACCTCATCACATAAAGCCTGATGTTACTTTTTTTCTATATTTAAAGTCATCATAAGATGACTTTAATCGTTTATATAAAATTTCACGCTGGCACTTAACATCTCTGTCCTGATTCATTATTAGGATGCTACTTTCTAGAAAGTTCTGCATCTATCTTAATAATCTTCTAATTGGGTTAATAAAGAGCAAAATTTTAGATAAATGAAATGTTTCTTGTACCTACTCCATGATAAAAGAGGAAAATGTTTACATTGTTTTTAACCAAAATGCTTTTGGTTTTTGCTTATACACTGACAAAAGTGTATATGTCTATATATCCTTTAACATATATATTTTAAAAACAATGGCCCTCTTTGCCTTTTTAGTGTACAACAGTAAGGTTTTTAATATGCATAACAGCTCGTAGCTTGTGGGTAATTAGCAAATTGACTACATAGGCCCTACGCCCCTCAGTGAAGACTCTAAATATGCTCTTGTATGCATGGATACAGCCACAGGCCTCACACAAGAGATCCCCAGCCTGAGAGCCAATCAAGCTGTCACAATAAAAGGATTAGAAAATCTCTTTTTATTGTTCTATTCAACTAATAACAAAATATCCCAGAATTTCCATTTTTAAAACAGTAAGTGATGATTATTTTCTCATGAACCTTCTATTGAAATTTCTGAAAGAAATAATCTAACTTTTATCCCACTGAATAGTTTCAAGTTAAAGGAAAAGAACCAGAGATCAGTCAGCAGGGTACACTGAGGGAAGGCATTTCTATTGGAAATAACACCAACAATTACAGCCAGTTACTGATACTGAAAATATGAAGAACTTACAGAATTGGCTTGTTTCCTTGCTTGGTTTATCAGTTCTTTTATCTCAGAAATGTTTTTCTTCAGGTTTTCCTCAAGTTCCTTGATAGGTTTGAGTTTATCTATTAGTCGATCAGCTTCTTGTTCCAAATTTTTCACAGTGGCATCTGCATCTGCAACTGCATAGAACAAAATCAACATACACACGCACAGACATACATACACAAGGAATTAGAATAGCAGTATGCTTTACTAAACAATGGAAGGAATTTCATCTACTCCAAAGCAAGGCCATGACTGCTGAAGCAAAGATTGTGTTGGAAAATGGGGATGTTTTAGTTAGGATTCAAGCAGGCTGGAGGAAATGTTAGAGAAATAGGGGCAACGTTTTGGCTTTGTGATAAGGTAGGAAATAGCACTGAAACTAGAGAATATGATGAATTTTATTCAATGCTTAATTTCTAGCTTCAGCCAAAAAGCTTTAGAATTAAAAAAATCTTTAGAATTAAGAAAATTCTGAGTCTTTAAAATATCACGTAGTCTGTCCAAGCCAGAACTATAAGCAAATCAATATTCTTACATAAAATTGATTTTCTTCCTTTTTCTCACTGTCTTTCTTTGCACACTTAACTAGAGGAGCTATCAAAATATCTTGTGCAAAACATTTCAATGTTCAATGACCCTTAGACTTGGGGCTTATGTCATACTTTAATTAAATCTTCATGCTGCAGTTCAGTTTCATTTTGAAGAATAGTTGATTATTCTTCTCCATATATTAGCCTGAACCATATCAAATGGCTCCTTTTGTAGATCAAAAAAAGGTCAAATATTGGCAATTTCAAACAGTTCAGCTCTAAAATACTTGAAGGTGATAACTGATCCATAGATTTTTCAGTATGTGCTTTTCATAGGAGGGCATCTGACACATGGAAAGCCAACTATTCTATCTCTAGGTGCTGGCAGTCTTATCCAAACTATGTCATTCATGATCTGATCAAGCACATATTGTTCTGCCTTCTGTCTTTGTGACCCTGATGAAAAAGATAAACTGCTCACGATCCAAGGTTATATGCCCTGCTAGACCATGAATGATCTCTTCTCTGGCTGACATTGAACCATTGAGGACTATCCTCAAGAATGAATCAAATGTGCTCAAAGTAAGTAAATCATTATTTTTAAACGAGGTTTCAAAGTAGGTATTTTGAAGTCATGCTCATAAATATAAGTTATATTGTTAGTGGTGTTTAAAAAGAACACAGGTCTATTGTCAACTCTAATTAATAGAGTGGCTAGATCAAGAACTGAGTATTTTTTTCCTGAAATGCACATTATCATGGCAAAAAATCTTGTTAAAAAATTGTACAGATTTTCAACATAAACACAGTTGCCACTTTGTTTTGTATACTTTTAGTAAACCATTTGTCCATTTTCTTCCTTGTTTTAATTCTCCAGTATTACTGTAACGTTCAACAAACCATTCTAGAATCGGGGAAAAATGATTTCAATTTAAATTCATGATAAACATAAAAAGATTAAGCAAAGACAATAGGTTTAGGCAAGTAACAAATCCATTTCTTCTAAAGCTCCGATAAGTTTTCAAATACTTCCAAATGGAATCTGGCTGTCATCCTTCCTTTTCCCCACCTCCCATATCTTCTGGAGCAGTTCATTTAAGTCATATGGAAATTATCTTCCTGGATGTTTGATAAATACTTAATCTGTGATACTGAGTCTTATGCTTCCTTGTTGGGTAGTTTTTTTTTAAAAAAAACTTGCTCAATTTTTCCATAATTATTTGGTAGTATAGATTTTTTAATCACTTCTGGAGATCAATTTAGATAACAGTGTTTTTCTAGAAAATTGTCCATATCTTTTAGACTTAAAAATTTATTAGCATAGAGCTTATACTCTCTTATAAAGTATTAAATTTCCTCCTTATCTAGTTATATCTTCTTTTGAACTTTATTTGTGCTTATTTTTCTTGATTAAGCCTGCCAATCTTTTGTTATTTTTATATTCCTAAAGATTCACCTCTTGAATTTATTTATCAAGTCTATTATTTTCTGTCTTCTAATTCATTAATGTTTTCTTTCATTTAGTCTTTCTTTAGGCAAATTTTATTTTTTCTAACTTATTGAGTTGATTGTCTAAATTGTTTATTTCAATGCTTGTCTAGTAATGTAATTTTTCTCATTTTCCTCTGAGGACAGTTTTGGCCATATTTTTCCAGTTTTGATATATTTTATTATTATTATTTTCTACATATTTTGAAGTTTTATTTTTTACATTCACTTGAAAATACGAAATTTTTAAGTGAATTTACAATTTTTTATATCCTAGCAGTTGCACATTTGCTAAAATCTAACTTTATTTTGTTATTCTCCAATTAAAAGTCTCTAGACATGAGAATAATTCCATATAAGGAAGGGGTAAACATGGGCTTCTGGGGGTGGGGGCAATACCCCTAGACCTGATCTGTTTTAGTTTGGCAGCAAAGAGGTAAGTGGTATGAACTTCAAGAACTACATTTCTGAGTTTGAGTTATCAGAAATATATTAATTACATGTGTGGAGGAATTTAGTTGTCCACTTTTATGTGAGTATCATACAGATATTTCACTAATTTTCATAACAAAATTGAAAACATTTTATATCAAATGCATCCATACACTACCTTCTTTCTACAGAAAAATTCATTTTATATATCTAAGCATTAATACTGTGACACTGGGAAGAATAGCTATATAATGTTTAAAGCAATATCAAAACATGGTAACATGCAAAGCTAAAGCTTTTTGCAATAGGTAATCAAGCATAAAAATTACTAAAAAGTATGCAAGTAAACATATACATACTGATTTCTGCAGGTAATTTCATAAGGAAATAAAACAAAAAGAAATTAGAAAATTAATGAGGAGTTTTTTAAAATAGATATTATAAATTAGTGGTTGTCAAAAATAGTACTTTTCACAATAGGTACTGATTACAATGGCACCCAATTTTAAGACAAACAAATGTTATCAAATGAAGGTGTAGAAAAATATGTCACTTAGCAATGCATTGCTTAAATTCAAAGAACATTATTATAATGTTCTAATAAGACAGAAAACAGATTGAATTTAATTAATATTTACAAATAATTATTTGTCTTGATAGAGGGTGCAGTCAAACATATTATGAAAGGCCACTATCAGTTGATAATCAACCGAAAGTTGATTGACATGATATCTTAAAGTATAAAATAAGTAAAAGAGACAGTGATATTTACATCAAAAATGTATTTCCATTAATTTGGTGGGGGGGGAATACTGCGATTTGGCATGCATCAGAATGAATTATTCTAATGGAATCTTTGACCTGTGGGGGAAAACTCAGACTTTACATATGGGAAAACAAAAACCCAAACATCCTTCTTCTTCCTTGAAGAAATGTCAAGGGACTGAATTCTTCCTATGCCCAGCTCTGACATGCATATTATATGTATCTGCATTCTTCCATGCTCTTGAAGGAGTCATGCTAATAGTATTTATTATTTCATAGCATTCTTATCATTTGATTTGAGTCTAAGGTGCTGAAATCAGACTCCGCTTCCCGGTCAAACAACATCTGAATTCATAGCTTGTAATGTCAATAGTAATGATATTTTTGTTATTGTATTCTACAAATATTCTGATACTCAATTAAAATGTTGATATATAAAGACAGATAGTTTCTTGAGAGTGACAAGAACAAAAAATCAAGTGCCTCCTTTGGTGAAATAATATATAAAGATAACGTTTTATCATTTGTTATCTACTACATTTAAATAATGATTAGAATTATCATTATATTAAGTTCTCCCACATTTTCTCAGAACTTATTTTCAATAAATCTTCATTAAATCACTATGAGTTTATGTAATACAATAAAACGTGAAGAAATATCATTTTTATTTCCTGGAAATGTTAAATGACAGAAACCTGTATAATAAAGCATCAATATTTAAAAAATTTTAATGCATTTCAAGTTGCTACCCCTTTTAATGAAAGGAGGCCTGGTGATGCAATGGTTAAACTCTAGGCTGCTAACCGAAAGGTCGGAGGTTCAAATCTACCAGCCGCTCCACGGTAGAGAAGACTTAGTGATCTGCCCCTGTAAAGATTACAGCCTGGGAAACACTATGGGGCAGCTATACTTTGTCATACAGAGTCCCTATGAGTCGGAACCGACTCAATGGCATCCAACAACATCACCACCCTTTTAATACCCTGTTTCAATAGGCCTTAGCCTCTATGTGCCATGAAACTTCACAAACTCTAAGGATATATTTTCCCCAAGTACAATTGTATATTCAAGAATTAAAAACTGTTTGGCATCCCTATACCAAATATCATGCAGGCCTTAAGGATTCCTAATTTTCCTTAGATGGAACAATATTTAGGTACAAAATGCACTGGTGTAAGCTAGGAGACTTGGATTGTAGCGCCGGATCTGCGGACACTCCGTTCCTGAGCTCAGTCCACGAAACAAGGAAGACAGACTATACCAGTGAGAGGGTCTTCTCCAGCACTACCATTTACGACTAGAATACTTTTTTAGTGTGAAGAAAGAAATGACATAGTCAAAGTGAAAAAGTGACCTTACTGTTCTTGGAAGGCTCTTTTATCACAGCGTTTGTTTCGGCTACGCTGTCTGCTAGTTTATTGTAATTTTTCTTCAGGCCATCGAGGTTCTGGTGGAGGTCTTTAATCTGTGCCAGGACATCTTTTGCTGTGTCGTTGGCTTGTCTTGCTTTGTCCTTAGCAGCTTGCAGTTTTGCAGCTGTATCTGTCAGTTGAACAGCATATGAGAAACAAAACAAAGGGTCTGGGGTTAGTGGCTTAATCCCTGCTCGTCAAAGCAGGGCTGCGACTGGCTGACCTCAGAGACACATTTACAAAGAGGAAAGGCTGAACTCTGTCTCATTCAGTTGTAGGAGATGAAGCAAATTTTTAGCGAGATTTAATTTTCTCGAGGGTCTTTACTATGAATACCTGATCAGCTCTGAAAATAGCAAAGTGATTATTCTAAGTGTACATTGTATAAGGATATATTGTGATTTGCATCTGAACAGATTCAATATAGAAATTTAAGCACATGAGCCATATAAAAACCAAACCCATTGTTTTGGAGTTGATTCCAACTCATAGTGACCCTATAGGGCAGAGTAGAACTGTACCATAGGGTTTCCAAGGCTGTAATTTTTATGGAAGTAGCACTGGTAGCACAGTGGTTAAGTGCTCAGCTGCTAGCCAAAAGGTTGGTGATTAGAACCCACCAGCTGCTCTGGCAGAAAGATATGGCACTCTGCTTCCATAAAGATTACAACCTCGAAAACCCTATGGGGAAGTTCTACTCTGTCTGATAGGGTCACTACGAGTTGGAATCAGCTTGATGGCAAGGTTTTTTTTTTTCTTCTTTTTTAAATCTTCACGGAAGCAAACTGCCACATCTGTCTCTTGTGGAGTGGCTGGTGGGTTCGAACCACCTGCCTTTTGGTTAGCAGCCGAGTGCTTAATCACTGTGCCACCAGGGCTCCTTATGAACCATATAGCTTCATCAAAACTTGGCTTAAGATTTAATCTGTACTTCCAGTGGTGGTGGGGGTAGGGTGGTGAGGGAGAAAGTTCTTCAATTTTAGGGTAAAGAGACTTTGTTGGGTATGTTACATGCGTTTGTTTTCAGCATTGGAGATTTTCTATGTAGTTCCTTGATTACTACTGAACAGGTAACATGAAAATCCAGATGGTTACTCAGGTTTTTTTTTAATATTAAAAAATATAAAACCCATTTAGATTTTCATATTTCAACTTGTGTTGTATAAATGTATATATTTATCTCCTTGATCATAATCTATATAAATACAGAACATATATTGTTATATTGTATATATAGATGCCTACTATGATGTGTAGCTTAGTGGTTAAGACCACAGGCTCTGCAGTCAAACTGCAGGGTTTAAATCTCATTTATGCCATTTTTAACAATGCCTTGAATATCTTGTGTCTCTGTTTCTTACTTATGAAGTGGGGGTGATAGTGCCATCTACCTTGTAGGGTTAATATGTAGATGACATACAATTAATATAAATATATTGAGTAAGTACCTAATAAATGTTAGCAACTCATTATTATAATAACATGCTGGTAAAATTTGAAAATAGTATACCTAAAAGAATATGTGCCTTCAGGAACTAATACCAAGCAGTAACTTAAGTAATTCTAATTAGTAGAAAGATATCACAGACATAGCTCAACCATTAATGTTTATAAAAGCTAGAATATTTAATGAATTGAACTTTGCCAGGACAGATATGCTGACAGGAAGCTGGCTCTCACCTATTACTGCAGGTACTGTGATAAAGTGGGACTTTGTTGTAGTATATCAACATTTTAAAAAACAGTGTCTGTGTGATTTAATTATTTTTCACTAATACAAGATTTCATAGGCTGAAATATGGAAGAACAATATACTAATAAGATGGCTATATATTCCTTTTTAAAACCTATTTCTACAGATGCCAGCTAAGATAACTGTATTAGTTTCCTAGGGCTGCTGTAACAAAGTACCACTAACTGGGAGGCTTATAAGGAACAAAATTTATTGTCTCATAGTTCTGAGACTAGGATTCTGAATTTAGGGTGTGGGCAGGGCCATGCTCCCTCTGAAGGTTTTAGGGGACGATCCCTTCTTGTCTCTCCCAGCTTCTGGTAGCCCCAGACGTTCATTGGCTTGTGGCAGCAGCATAATTCCAATGTTGTTTCACTCTTCATGCTGACCATCTTCTCTCTGTGTCCCTGTGTTTGTGTCTCTTATCCTCTTCTATAAGGATGCAACTGAGATTGGATTAGGACCCACCCTACTCCAGTATGATCTCATGTTACCTGATAACATTTTCAAAGACCCTGTATCCAAACAAGGTCCTGTTCACAGATACTGGGGATTAGGACTTCAACATTTTTTTTTGGGCAGGGACACAATTAAATCTATAATAAGTAACAAAGAATAATAGATAAGAAAACCAATATCTAATTTCCTGACATCGGTACAAGTGCAATGTCAGACAAAATAGTAAAAGTTACAACATTCTTGAGAAATTCAAGTCAACTGACAAAGTTTTCAGAGTTCTGAATGTTTACCATTTGGAATGGCTGATAACTTTCCCAAAGTGTCGTTCAAAGCTTTCAGGAGCTCCCCGTTTCTAACATCTGCATTTTCTAACCTGCTTGTCAAGCCATTCAGATGATCATCATGTTCTGCAAACAGAAAAAAATAAACAAAGGATAAAACAATATACTGAATCTTAATCATCTCTTACGTCTGGATATACGATTTCAGGTTATTTTCTTACGAAGTTAATAAAAAGCAAGGAAATTGATTTAATTCATTTACTTTATTGGCACTTATCCATAAATACACTTCAGATCATAATATAAAGTAAGTCTTTATACGATCATTTTACACTCCAACGTATTCAACAATTATGTTTTCTTCTTGGTATCTGATGTTTAACTGACTTAATTTGATGGTGTTCTGTAGAAATAAAAGTTCAGAAGAAGCAATGTTTTCTTGCGTTTGTAACGATGCCCCCCTGGACAGCACTTCCATTACTTTCGCTTATTTTAAAAAATTTATTGCCAAAATGGATCATTGGATTAGTTTTTTACTTCAGTAAAAACAATTTATTAAAATTCATTTGAAACAAATAAAAATCACAGAAATGGAAAAACATTACAAATTGCCTTCAGATAGGCTTCATATTACTCTACCACACTTTTTTTTTTTTACTAATTTAGCATATTTTCTTTAATACTCAAGAATATTGTTTACTAGAGCTAATTTAAGTTCACATTTTCCAGCTTCTTCTAATTTTTAACATTCCCTCAATTTTAGGTGAGTTTATACTGTAATATTCCCTAGAAAGTTGGGAGTTTAACAATATAAAGAGTAAAAGTTATGAGATCACTTAGAAGAAAGAAAATAAATATCTGCTGATCTGAGAATGTTAAGTTTAGTAGTCTTACTTAGGTATGCATCAAACTGCAACTTTTGACTGAAATAGAGTTTGAAAGATTGAGATAGATTTCATCTGTCTTCTTTTTCCTACATTTTGTTAGTAAACAGTAGAATTGAAAAAAAGAAACGATGTAAAACTTTATTCTTCCAACAACAATCTTTAACTGTTCTAACTGGATAATGCAGGCCATTTCTTGAATGTATTTTAAATATTTTATTATGCCATAAGATTTGCTCTCTTGAGATATGCACACTAATTGTTTTCATTAGCTCCACAGAAATGCAAAATATCAATAAAAGTCAGAGTCTCCACGTAAAGAACAGAATTGAGCAAGAGCCTTGAAGATACAGGGCCCTAGATCCTCCTGGACTGGACTGGCCAATGTTTAGCGATAACAATGGTCAGCAAGTTACTGAGTGTGTGCTATGTGCCAAATTTAGGGGTTATCAGTTTAGGTGGATTATTTCACTTAATCCTTACCACAACATTTATGATGTATGTATTGTTAAACCCCATTGCCATTGAGTCAAATCGAACTCATGGCGACCCCACGTGTGTCAGAGTAGAACTGCACACCATAGAGCTTTCAGTGGTGGTGCAATGGTTAAGTGCTTGCTGATAACCAAAAGGTTGGCGGTTTGAACCCACCAGCCACTCCTCAGGAGAAAAGACCTGGTGATCCGCTCCCATACAAATTACAGCCTAGGAAACCCTATGAGGCAGTTCTACTCTGTCCTATAGGGTCACTATGAGTTGGAATTGACTCAACAGCACACAACAACAACAACAAAAATCTTACAGAAGTAGATTGCCAGGCTGCCTCTGGGTGGATTTGAACTGCCAACATTTGGTTAGTGGCCAATTCCAAATCATTTGCGCCACCCAGGGACCCTGTATATACTATTGCCACCTACAATTTACAAATGAGTTAATTAAGGCTTAGAGAATTTAAGTAAGTTTCCCAAGGTTAAATGATTAGTAAATGTCAGAGCTGGGATTCAAATCTAGGCAGTCTTATTCTAGAGATTATGCTTGATTATATCTTGTTGTGCTGGTTAAATTATTTGCTCTGTGCATATATTACTGTTCTTTTAGTTAAAACAGCTAAAAATAGGTGTAAGCAACCTGAACTGGGGAAGGCTGATATTTTCCATCATTTTCTTGGTACTTAGAGTAAGCAGAAGGAGCCCTGGTTGGCCGTGCAGTGGTTAAGCACTTGCCTGGTAACCAAAAGATCGGTGGTTTGAACCCATGAGCTGCTCCAAGGAAGAAAGATGTGACAGTCTGCTTCCATGAAGATTACAGCCTTGGAAACCATATGGCACAATCTACTCTGTCCTGTAGGGTGGCTGTGAGTTGGAATCTACTAGATGGCAACTTTTTTTTTAGAGTAAGCAGACCAGGAGAGAATACTGCTCATAGAACAGAGTCAGCTCAGCCTTGATTAGATTGTATGCCCGTGGTTTTTTACAGCAGTGCAGCTGCCTTGTTGGAGTAGCTGTGCAGGCCACTGGCAGCTGAGAATAATCTTTGCCTTTATTGGCTCTCATATGGGACGAATAGGAAAGGGAAAGGAAGATAGGATGAGGATTCTTAATTAACAGTGTTCTAGATGTGAAAAAGAGTGCTGAACATATTAATTAATGATCCATCCATTTCATATAAAGGATATTACAGGCAGGCTGATTTAACCACTGTAATACTACAGTTCAGTAGTAACATAAACACCTACTATTGTTTAAGGTGTCTGCTTTTAGGTTCCAAGCCCATGACCCAACGTCATTGAAAAACAAGGCATAAAATATTCCAGCAAAGCATGCCTCAAAAAACATCCAGATGCCCATTTCAGTGACTAATATATTCTCTTTTCAATTCTAGCCCTTTGAAATACACTTTTCAAGTAATTAGATTTTCTCCTCTGTCAATCACTTTTCACTTTTCCTTTAAAACTTCTTTTATTTTCACCGTTTGTACTAAAATACAATCTTTGGATACTTTATCACAAGTTTACTTTCTGAAATAAAGCCAGTCTGAGTATGACTGTGATATCTATATGAATTCCTTGAGAATAGTTATAGTTAAAGGGTTGGTCTTTTGACATTAACTTGGAAGTATTCCTCAATTAAGGAAATGAAACTGTGCAAATTTTATTTCTTAGCTTCTTGATTGAATTTGATTTTTAAAATAATGAAGCATTTAAAATGTTCTGGCAAGCAAGATATTCACATACAGTGGAAAAAATCATTAAAGGGCATCACTGGGTTTATACTATTTCCTGCATTCTGATAGGAAATACTGGCTGAACAATCAGGCCAATTATTCAGTAGAAAGACTGACCTGAAGAGAATTTTTAGTGCTGTCCCTCAAGTCCAAAGCAGTAATTTTGATCCTCTGCTTTCTGTACTAGAATGTCAAAATGTGTATACTCTGACTCCATTCCTATTCCTACATTTTATCCACTTGACTCTAATTCCTTCCTAATGTATCCTTTTCTTACACTCTGATCTTTTTTTTTTTTTTTTCCTCAAGTAATTTCTGGAACTTGTCAAACTCAGTCTAAAAGTTTATAGCTTTGGCAATAGAATTAGATGAGTAGAAGCTGTGCAAAAAGAATTGCAGATCTTTAAAGGAAAACCTTGAAATGAAATAACAATGAAAACCTAGAAAAATAATCATACTAAGGTTCGTTTGAAATTAAAAATCATATGAGGCATAGGATATATATATATAACCAAAATGTAAGGAAGAATGCGTGTGGTCCAGTTTGAGTTGCAACATAAGCAAAGAAACAGAATTACTGATAGGAGAAAATCCAACTCAATTCTTGTAATTTTGGGGGAATAAGTAAAGCCATGGTATTTTCAATCACCTAATATGCAAGCGAAAGCTGGATGATGAATAAGGAAGACCGAAGAAGAATTGATGCCTTTGAACTGTGGTACTGGCGAAGATTATTGACTATACAACGGACTGCAAAAAGAACCAACAAATCTGTCTTGGAAGAAGTGCAACCAGAATGTTGCTTGGAAGCAAAGATGGCGAGACTACGTCTCGCATACTTTGGACATGTTACTAGGAGGGATCATTCCCTGGAGAAGGACATCATGCTTGGTAAGGCAGAGGGTTATTGAAAAAGAGGAAGACCCTCAACAAGATGGATTGACATAGTGGCTGCAACAATGGGCTCAAGCATAACAAGGATTGTGAGGATAGTGCAGGACTGGGCAGTATTTCATTCTGTTGTACATCCCTATGAGTCAGAACCAACTCAATGGCACCTAACAACAACAAGTAAAGTGTCCAATTTATAATCCATACTATCATTTTGTAGGATTTCCTTTCCTTATTTATTCAGTTCTCATGCCCAATAGCCAAGTCATTTTCTTCTCCTTTTCTCTAAATATCATATCCAGCAAACCTCAAACGTCTCTCTCTCTCACACACACATAAGCACATACAATCTCTCTGGTTCTGGCTCTCCCTTTCTCATAGTCTCCTCATTCACTAGAAGACAAATATCTAAGAATGGGTTTGGCAAAGACAGGGCTCCTAAGGTGAGGGAGGGAAGAAAGAGAGTAACAAGTACAGACTCTGAACACTTTTGACTTAATATAATTTCTCTTTGCCACACATCCATTAAAACTGTACAAGATAGACATATCCAAAATGCAAATCACTACACAGAATTCTAAGTTACTTCCATTAATAAAAAACTTTTGTTTGCCATGCTTCTGAAACTCATATATGAATTAGAGTTTAGTTAAATTAGAGCTGGTAACATTGATGTATGCTACGTAAGATTCCAAGATCAAAGTCATTTCTTTGATCATTAATAACATATTTTTTAAAAATAACACATGCATACTTCTTTTTTGCCAACCTCGCAATCCCTCTGCACATTGTTTTTGTAAGCATGCTATGCTAATATTTTCTACATGTTGCTGACCTCAATTTCTATTTCTGATCACATGGAAACTTCACTTAAGTTTGGTATTGATTTTATATTACTTGAAATTTAAGCCAAAAGGATTTACCAGTAGTTCAAAAGTGATGTACAAAATTTAATTTTTGTAATTTCCTGATAAAATATCATCGTTATTCTTGTGAATGGAGCAGTGTCACGCCCTGTTGAAACCAAAGAGTATGAACGCATGAAGAACTACAAATTAGTAAGTAAGAATGACCTTAGGCCTAAAATTAAAAGAACAAGATGTTGTTTATATTTTATTGCTTTCATTA